AAATGCCATGTTTGCAGGTAATGTAACAAAAATTTCTTTGAAATTGGTAGTAAATTACATGAGTATTAATTTTTCGCCCATGTGATGTCAAAAGAGCGAGTGTGCAAAGAAACACTCCTGACATCAATGAAAGAAATGTTTGATCCTCCATGGAAGTGTCCTCTGACAATTGCCTGCCAAGGCAACATGCCAGCAAATGGACAGACACACTTGCTCATTTGACGACTTGTACAGTGAGAGCTCTTATTTGGGTTCAGAGCAAGAACTTTCATTGAAAAAAACCCAACATATGTAGGCGGTTTCAGAATGAAACTGCCCACATATATTGGGTACAACACACAGAAAATTTCAAGACAATACTTAGCATGTGTCCCTTCTGCAGACACACAAAGTTCTGGCTTTATTTTAGGTAACCCTTTATTACATTCTCCAAGATCAGTACTATTCTCGTTTGAATGGTTGCATTTATAAAGTGAATTATAAATTTTTAGGCCGAGTTGCAATGGAAATTCTAGAATTGAAAATGAGCAGGCTGCCAAGCTATAAAGGCCAGTCTAGTACCCTGAAAACAACAGCAGAACAGTCAGCCAGTAATACAGAACTATTATAACAATGCTGAACACCTTGCCTGACATTTTAATAGTTGGACAAAGATAATAAACACAGATTAGAGACCTTTTAGGGGTTCCAAAGCATTACATGATCTGCTATCAAGACTTGGACAGAGGGAAATATAGGTCCAGACAAAGAGGGAGGTAATATTGTCCTTACCATGAACTGAGATGCGTGATGAGAAGTGTTAATCTGTTTGGGGTCTGCATTCTTTGAAGTCTTACTGATAACTGAGAATCTTGAATCAATAACATGGATCAAGAAAATCTTGTATTATCTGGATTTTACCTGTTTAAACTCGCGCCAATTCTACTCACGCACCCTGTAATACTCAAATTGAATCAATCTCACCTGGAGAAGCTCATGTACACAACATATGAGGGGCAATCCAAAAGTTTCTGCTGAGATAGTAGGAATGATCAGAGAAAGCTGAAATTTGGTTCCCATATTCATTCTTCCTTTTCAGTAATTTGAAGGGCCAGCAATCAGGCTTAGGTGCATTTATATTTTAAATAATAATTTGCATGTAAGACAAGTTCTAGTCACTGAAAATATCAGTTTCAAATAGTAAAATGAATTTTTCCCAATAAATGTGAAGCACTGCTCCAACAATCAGAGTAGCATTCATGTCCAGAGAGGTAATGCTGAAAAGTAAAATTTGTTTAAATAGTCTGTCACGTTCCCTTATATCTCAGGGCAGAAACTTTGGATCACCCCTCATACCTCTCCAAACACATTTCATTCCTCCTCCTCTCTGTTGCTCTCCTATCATCTTATCCTATTCTCTCCAAATGTCATTATGCAAGATTGGAAATGGCATAAAAAGTAATATAAGTAGATTGAAAATTACAAGGTGTGCAATAAGATCTAATGATTCTGTGACAACCAAATGGCCTGTCAAAGCACATGCACAGTACAGAATAGAAGCTCCTTGGATGGACAAGTTTATGCCTCCCACACACCTGACCTACGAGCAGAGGCAAACTGAGTTCTGTGCCTTTCTGTTTCATTTCTCATCCTTTTCAACCTTCACATTGACATTCTCAACTCACAGCTGTCAGGTAACCGGAAGGGATGGAACCCCTGATAGTGGGTGCAAAAAGAAGACTAGAGTACACTTTGTCTGACACTCACCTTCCCGTTCATTCATGAACTACCAAAGCACACTTGACGACTCAATGAATTATTCACAAACTAGAACATTCTACCTTGCATGATGCGATTAGGTGAAGGCATATGGATGCATCCTTGCAGCACAATCTCTGGAGCAGGCTTCACGTCTTCCTCATCTGCTGCTGGATCATAATCTGCCAGTGTGAGCAGATTGTGAGTCATATCAAGAATGAAATCCTTTACAGATGATACAGCCTTCTCTTGTGTCAACAAGCCATAGACATGTGGGAGGGGGCTAAGAGCAGGGTCAGATGGGTGATGTTTCATCAGCAGGGGAAAGTACCTGTGAAAGTAAATTTTTATTTTTGGGTCTCAGGTCAAAGGGCATTCCAGTTCAGCAGATGGCATTATTCTCACCTTGGGTTCTGGGTCCATGTGGAAAACAGTCGTAACAGAGCTGTTGGACCATGGATTCCTTCTACCACAAGCTTGGGAAGCCTTGGCCAGATGGCAACTTCAAACAGAGCATCAACATCCTCAAAATTCCAGGGATAGAGGTGAAAAGTGTCAAAGAATTGAGTGATACAGTTGAGGGCAAGAGAACGAAGGTCCCTTAGAGGAGCAAGGACATGAGGATCCAGCTCCATGTGTTGTTTGAGTAATGCAGAGATGGTGGCTGCAGTGAAGATGAGGATGCGCAGGACATGTTTCACATTCCCTTCAAGAAGATTTCCCACCTTGGCAATGATGAGGCCAAGGAGATTGAGGGTGCTGCGAAGACGTGACAGGGGCACACTTGACGATGGCTCTGTTGTCTCCATGATGCATTTTATCATTGTTCTGACACTTCCTGCATCTGTACAAGGGCAACCATGTTTGGGGTATGACCAGCTCAGGAAAATGGGGCTAAAACTGCTCCATCTGGCAATATATACCATTTCACGAAACAAATATGGTCAGACTTGTCTGCTTAATTGAAAGATTAAATCTGTCAAATGTGATTCCAGAGCAGGAAGAGATTAAATGTCAATACCTCCAAGAACAGCTTTCATTCTTTCAATGATTGTCAAGACTCAAAGGTTTAATCCTACTGATCTACTGCAGGATTCTACCCAATAAATTAACAAAACTTGGTTAACCCTCTCCATGAATCAATTCCTGCAAAAACTGATCTTCCAAACTTTTTTTAATATAATAATAATAAATATGTGTAGAGACATTTCCAAGGAAGCAATATCACATCTATGGTTGTTTATCCTTTTTATGAACTGGTTAGGGAATAAAAAAAAAAACCTTTTAGTTTCATCAGATAATAACTTTTCTTCATGATTAGCACCTACTGGTACAAGGCATGCTTTCCAGGGCTGACACTATGCATTGCATGGATGGTAACATGGACACATTGATGTTTGTTGTTTGTTTCCTCTGGGAAGTGTGCGAAGGGGAGGGCAGGGATCAAAAGTGGCAGATACCTGAGTTACACATGAAGAAGCTGAAGAGTTGCATACCAGGTATTTACTGGTGGAGGGAAACAGTGCTGAGAGAGGTATAACAGAGGATGAAAGGGAAGAAGGGTCCTGGTAAGCAGCAATCCCATTTGCCCATGTCTTCTCAGCCCTAGCCAGATCATTGTCATTTTTTCTTGCCATGAAAGCCTACAGCCCCTGAATCTGTTTTGGCCTCTCCATTTTGAGACCAGAGCTCTATCCTGCCTTTTCCCATGAAATCAGTGAGAAACGATGAGTAGAGAGAAGGAAAAAAGGAGATATAGATGCAAACACATCCCATTAATAAAACCTCCCACCCTCATAACCCAATCCAGTTTGCCTTCTGCGTGTCCACAGCTGAAATTTCTGTGCAGTGCTAATTCCAGGAAATGATGGTGGTGAAGTGAGGGTGGTGGTATACTGAATGGCAGTATATCAAGTAGTGACTGCATACCAATTGCTGTCAGTTTAAGATTTTTCAAGGGGAAATACCAGGTGGCCCAAAAAAATCCTGAACTTTAAATGCTTGCAGAGGGTGTACCATAAGTGTTATTGACAGGAAATTGACATACAAATGACAAATGCCATGTTTGCAGGTAATGTAACAAAAATTTCTTTGAAATTGGTAGTAAATTACATGAGTATTAATTTTTCGCCCATGTGATGTCAAAAGAGCGAGTGTGCAAAGAAACACTCCTGACATCAATGAAAGAAATGTTTGATCCTCCATGGAAGTGTCCTCTGACAATTGCCTGCCAAGGCAACATGCCAGCAAATGGACAGACACACTTGCTCATTTGACGACTTGTACAGTGAGAGCTCTTATTTGGGTTCAGAGCAAGAACTTTCATTGAAAAAAACCCAACATATGTAGGCGGTTTCAGAATGAAACTGCCTACATATATTGGGTACAACACACAGAAAATTTCAAGACAATACTTAGCATGTGTCCCTTCTGCAGACACACAAAGTTCTGGCTTTATTTTAGGTAACCCTTTATTACATTCTCCAAGATCAGTACTATTCTCGTTTGAATGGTTGCATTTATAAAGTGAATTATGAATTTTTAGGCCGAGTTGCAATGGAAATTCTAGAATTGAAAATGAGCAGGCTGCCAAGCTATAAAGGCCAGTCTAGAACCCTGAAAACAACAGCAGAACAGTCAGCCAGTAATACAGAACTACTATAACAATGCTGAACACCTTGCCTGACATTTTAATAGTTGGACAAAGATAATAAACACAGATTAGACACCTTTTAGGGGTTCCAAAGCATTACATGATCTGCTATCAAGACTTGGACAGAGGGAAATATAGGTCCAGACAAAGAGGGAGGTAATATTGTCCTTACCATGAACTGAGATGCGTGATGAGAAGTGTCCCAAGGCAAGATCAAGAAAGAGAGAGAACTCAGCTTCTTGACAGGCAGCAAGGAAGCGCAATATGAGAGCTCGTCGTGCTTTCACCCCTCCTTTCCCTTTTCCTTTGCCTCCTCCCTGAATCATCTTCCCGTACAGGAGTCTCAAAGGAGAAAAAACCAAGACCATTAGTGCAAAAGATGGCCCATTAGGACAAGATGGGCACTTAAATATTCAACTAGTTGGCAAATATACTAAAGTCAAACATAAAATATTACTTTCTTAATTTCTGTGTTGAATAGTTTCTTACAGGGGTTATTACTATTTTTAAAAAAGTTTTTGAAAATCACCAAACTAAAAATAGTCCTTTTAAATAATAAATTGTATCGTCTTGCTTTGCAAATTAAAGTCTTCTTCCAGATGATGAGTCTACAAGTATAGATGATATGAATCATGTCTACTTGCAAAACAGATAGCACTTTGAATATAAACCAAGCAGTTGTAGGGATTTGAGAGATTCCTATGGGTGAAGATGTTTATCCTAGTCAACACAGGCCTGCCTTCTTTTGCACCTTTAGAAAGGCTCTTTTCATTAGGAGGCATGATTCAGTGTGGAACAGGAAGAAAGTTGATAAAAATAAATTTTGGAATACTTTTTTTTTTGGTAGCTGTTCACTTTAACTCTAAAATATTACAAGAATTATTTTTAAAATTGCAACAACACTACACTGGGTTTCTCAGAGACTGCAACATGAAAAACTCTTAATTTAATTCATGCTTCTCACATATATTCAATAGTGTACCATGAGTTCTTAGGAAAGGCTTGGTTTTGGCCCTTGACAAATTGAAATTAGGTGAAGCTACAAGTTTGTCAATCCCTAGGAGTTATTTTAAAGATCCTTTGCATAGGGTTCCAGAGACAGTGCAGTGCTTAAGTGTTAAGCTCCTTCAGCATGTATGGTGCATCGTACCTTCTTCCCCTGTCTCTTATTTCCAGACACACATATAAATGATTGACTTCTCACTGAGTGCAGTAAACTTTTATAATACAGGAATGACAAAAATTCCCAAAGAAAATACTTGAAATAACATTCATAATTTGAACAATGCTAGTATTTTTCATTTTGACCAACTTTTGGAAACCTATTTCCTACTGTTTCAAGAGCACTACTCCCTATTTGATGACAAATAGTTTGTGAACCTTGTCTGTTTAACCCAACTCTGATAATGGACTCAGTTCAAGACAATAGACTGACCGAAGAAGAATAGGGAAAAGTGACTGGCGGTGCTCATCACGGACTATCTCTGCATCCCTGTCCACATTGAAGGCAGTCAGCTGGGTGCGGAATGTCTTCTCCTCAACCAATCCATATAGGGCCTCCCTATGCATGGAAAATGGACATGCATGGATTCTCTGTGTTGCACTTCAGAAGGCCAAATGAAGCTCAGGGATGGGACTATTGAGTATGGCATAATAATGAAGAAGCAGACCTGTATGGGAGGAGATCCTTGTTGCGATATGCCATCAAGCAGTCTAAAGCCAGTTTCTGTATTCCAGGCTTCCCATGCATGAGAAACTGGAGGAATACACAGTGAACATCTGACTCCTGGCTAATGGAGCGTGGGTCACTGAACCGGGAGAACACCTCCAGAGCTGCTTCCATCACTCTGAGCAATCAATACATACTGCTGCACAAGGTACTCAACTAAAACATAGAGGAGATTGAAGCTGAAGCTTGTCATTCTATTCATGATAAACTGACAGGATGGCTGGCTTAGGAGGTCTCTGTGGCTTTTTCTCTTCCACTGGATCTTTTTCATCTTTATTTTGATCCATCTCCTCTGGCTTCCGACGGTAATCCTGACTCCAACTTGCACCCTTGTCCCGCTTGTAATAATGCATCCTAGAATGTATTCAGAGCATTAACACATTCACTCCTTTTCTCAGAATTAAAACCTTCAAAGTGAGTAAAAGCCTGCTTTTCTGGAATGAATTGGAAACATGATGTAGGAAGAACTCACTTGATGAAGGAGAGGAACAATGGGATGATGTCTCGATTGTACATTTCAACTATGTGTGGAAAGAGTTTCAGGCACTTCCAGAGTAGCAAGTGAAAGTTAGAAACATCAGGCTCCTTCCCCTGATGCTTTCGGCCTGCTTCAATATACAATTCTCTAGGGAATCCTACAATGAAGAAAGCTGGTTTCATTTTGCCCCCATCATGAGTCCAGATATTGCATTCTGTCACACGAACCAGATTGGTATATAGTAGATGGTGGAATGGATGGACTGACTGGAGATGAGAGATCCTGGTACGCTTTTTGTAAAGTGGGAGAGAAGAGAGACCAGAACTCAGATGGTGGGAGGGAAATGGCATGAGAAGCCAGGAGTCCCTGCACTGGCTCCCACAGAGGCTGCAGGTCTTCATACAACATCCCCAGCAGATATTCCACTGGCACCTACAGACATACTTTACAGTCATCATCATCATCCTCTCAAAAGACATGCTGCAACAGTGCAGTGACTGAATGCTCTGAAGAGACTTGAACTGTGAAGATTCTGTTAGCAATGACTGGCTATGCATCGACTCATGAACTGATTCAGTGAAGTTATAGCTGCAGGAAAGACTGCTACAGCACAGAAGTTTATTTTCATGCAGCAATGATATGGCACTGTTTGGGGATGTTACATAAAAAAAATCAAATAAAAATCCAGCATTTGTATTGAAGCATTAGGGTAAATGTTAAATATCTATTTTTACAACTCATACAATTCCATAATTTTTTGTGACTGTGATGTCTCTAGAACAAATTTCAGGTGTGCTTTGCCTTTTCAGAATATCTGGTGCCACTCTTTATACAGTAGAGGAGAACACGGACTTCCTAGTGCTTCCAACAAACATCATTTTTGGCCCTCTCACCTTATCAGAACAAGAAATGACTGGAGGGACTACTTAGATCTTTCAGGGGACTGAATTTAATTCACTTCTTGCACCCTTTATTTTTATTAGGCTTATTGTCACAACAGGCCTGATAGGCCTTTTTCCAGTTATGCAAAAAATGATACAAATACAGGGTGTCCTGTAAATAGGTACACCACCTTTGCATCAATAATATGAAGGGTGTCCCATAAATAGGTACCCATTTTTATTTCTAGAATGCAACAAGCATACACAACTTTCCAGTTGAAACTTATATGGAACAGCTAGAGTAATCTTTGAAGTGTTGTTTAGTACTAAACACATCCAGCTTCTCTTTTAATTCACTTTTTTTTTGTGTGAACCATGGCAAAGTACCAGAGTTTGGAGGAAAGGCATAAAATAGCAGCATGGATGGAAGTTCATGAAAGTGTTGTGGTTGAACAGAGAAAATACCAGTTACTTTCAGAGGCACCCTCCAGCAAGCAAAACCATTATGTAAAAGTCAAAATTATTTTTGCGGGGTTTCATTAAGGACAGAGTTTATGCCATGCACCCACAGTCCTTGGATACTGTTTAGGGAATATCCTGTGTCATCTGTGCAAAATTTATGGATTAATTTTCTTCAACATCTCCAGATGTGTATTGAAAGAGAAGGTGAACATGTTGAGCACTAAACAAAACATCAAAGATTACTCTAACTATTCCATATGAATTTCAACTGGAAAGCTGTGTATGCTTGTTGCATTCAAGAAATAAAAATGGGTACCTATTTATGGGACACCCTGCATATTATTGATGCACAGGTGATGCTGATGAGCATGCTACAAAGGAAACTGATTTTAAGGTTTCTTGTGTTAGGAACTCCCACACTATTGGGTAGCATAAAAATAGAGTATCCTGTTTGACCCCTTATAAAACCTACTTTAGAATAATGCTAGGATTATAACACAACAGAGGAAATATTCTGAATTTCCTTTCCTGAAAGTTAAAAGTTCCTCAGTTGGGATGAAGAACTAATTGAACTGGAAAGAACAGTGACTCAAACTTCATTTAGAAAATTAAGCTTTTCCACATATCAGGTTGCAAATGTTGCAGCAGTGCTCTAAATACATGTGAAACTTGTCATGAAAAGGATTTTCTTTACAATTGCAGCCATATTGCAGAGTCATTGACTGTACAAAACAATCAGTTAAAAGAAGAGCAGAAGAGGGAAGAGACCCCACAATACAGTCCATTATTAGATTGGGAATTGAGTATTCTCTTCCTTCTCCTATCCCAGCAGTACTCAAACTGTAGCCCTTGAAGACTAAATGTACTTTTCAGTGAAAATAAATCCACAATGAATACTGTACAGTGGGACGATTGCATGAAACAGACTTAAAGCTCCATTAGGCTAAAGTCAGTTTTATGCAATCCACCTTATAACCCTGACTTTTTAAAACCCTTTCTCTTTATTCTTCTGTTTTTTTTTTTTTCCTTTTTGCTTATCAATCAATTGGCAGTCATTTCCTCCATCACAGTTCAGTTGGGTAATGTGGGTAATGGGGAAATGTAGATTTTTTGGTTCTCTTGTTGACTTACAGCAAGATTCTGAACTCAAAAGCACCTTCAAACAAATGCAGCTAATAAAGAGTATATTGAATTCTGGAGCATTGTCTCCCAGGAGAGGTACCCAAACTTGGTAGCATGTACAAGAAAAATGCTGATGCTGTTTTCCTTTTGTGTACTTGTACAAGGCATCATTCCTCAAAATGTAATATTTGAAGAAAAGTTATTGTATGTGCCTAAAAAATGAGCATCTCCAGCAGCAACTTCGCCTTGCAGTAGGCAAGCGAGTCCCAAACATGGATTCTGTGGTGTGAAGGAACAAGCATTTTCACAATTTACATAGAAAAATGAGAAACTGAGTTTTGTGTGAATTTGTGCATAAGTCTCTGTTGTGCTAATAAATACCATTGCATGAGTGATATTTGGGCTGTCTGTTTTTTTAATCTGTACTAGTAGACTTTGTATTCTTAAGTGTGGTCCACACAAGTTTGGTCACGTCCATATGTGGCCCCCAGCTCAAAAAGTTTGAGTACTGCTGTCCTGTCCTATTTTAGATACACCTTCATCCATTGAAATCTTCCTTTCTCGGCTGAGACCTGAGGACACAGCCCAGACAAAAACATGATACCAAGAACATAGCCATAAAAAACAGGCTTTGAGGCACCAGAGGAGAGAAATCTTTTCAACAGCATGGAACTGCTACAGCATGATATGTGGAAAAGTAGAATTTTCTTACTAAAGTTTGAATGACAGTTGCTTTTCATTCATACAAAGAAGATATTTTACATTTTCAGAAAACAAATTTGAGAGCGTATTCTCTGTGACACAAAGAAATGATAAATCTAGCAAATCTGCAATCCATAAAGCATCAAACCAGGACATGTTTTTCTGTACTACTCAGTATAACCATCAAGAAGTGAGGACTCTTTCCTCACTTCAGAATGTTTCAAAATGCAAGAAAACCATCTCAGAGCCCTTTCCTTCTCCTCCTCTTCCAAAATATGTTGGAAGTTTAATTTTCATCCAAATGCCATGATGCTCCCATGGGAAATGGAGTCTTTTTTTGGACCAACCATTATTTCATTATGATTTCTCTCCAATACATGGAACCATTATGATTCAGAAAAAAAAGGATATTCAGTTTTTCACAACTCACAAGATCAAACTTGAGTCCAGGAGGAAGAGAAGTCTGGACAAGATTGAAATCCAGTTGCTGAAGCCACTTCAGCTTGTCTCTGTATTCCTGAATCCTAAGTGGGATGCGTTCAATCTTTAAGCAGATCTGGAAAATACTGGAAGGTGCATCCCTCATCCCTTCAGGGGGCTTAGGAAGTTGAACAGGGAAAGAACTCAGGATCAGCAGTGTTAGGTGCCTCAACTGAAAAGAAATAAGAAGCAACTTGAGGAACTTTCAAAATCATACACATGTTGCCATCAATCTTAATTCTAATCCAACCTCCTTCTATGATATTGCTCTCAATGGTGGATACAGGATTTTCAGAAGGAAACTGGGTTCCAAGTTCAAGTTCAGTTAATTTCTAGCTCAAGAAAAGGATCAACAGATGCTGAGTTGTACCTAGTCCCTCATTTCAGTGCCAAAAAGTTGCTCCTCCTGCAAATCCACCACTGAACACTCTTGCAAGAGGAAAAGCTGGAAATGCTAAGACCTTAAATCCTCCATTCACTTATCTGCATTTCAATCCCGAACCTACTTTTGGATTGCACTCCATAAACTAATTCACAAGTCATATAATACAGTGATGAAGGAAATGAAAGAGGGAATTTAGATTTTGGGCTTACTTCTCCATAAGGAGACTGGAGATTCCCCCTGAGAGAGTTGTAGAAGACTTCCAGTTGATCCCTCTGAAGAGTGCCAAACATCTTGAGGGCAGCCAGGCCTATGTCCACCACTCGAAGAGGGAGAACATCCCCTGAGTGCCTGGTAGTAATGTCCCTCAGTGATTCCACATCTAGGATTTTGGCCAGCTGTGAAGGCTCTAAGCAATGTAGGGCTCCAAATGAGAGCCACAAAGGAAGCCAGACATGATCAATGTTGGCATCTCCTGGCTTTGCTGCTTCTCGATGAGTTGATCGTGTTCGTCTCCTGCTTTCCACCATCTTATTCCCTTCCCCCTTCACTATCTCCAACAGTTTCTCCACAAGATTTACCAAGAGGGTTGTGTCAATGGAGGGTCGTAGGCGTGAAAACAAGCTAATAGCAGTAGGCAGGATTTCAACCTCTTCACATGTGGCTGGATATGAAACAGCTGCCTCTGTGATAATCTCTGCCACTGTATCAATCACAGACGCCTTTCTCTTGGCTTTCAATACCCTTGACCTTCATGGATGAGACAATTGGATATAGAAATTTTAAAAATATCAGAAAGTGACATGAGAAAATACATACCTCAAGATGGGGATACTGAAATCCAGAGGATATGCGGGCTGAAAATGTTGGAGTTGGTCTGAAGTCATGACATATACTGGGTCCAAATCTGCCAGGAAGTGGAGGACTGACTTCTCCCCTGCCAAGTTCTTGTGGATGTGATCCAATGCCAGGGGAAGGATATGAGTCAGGAAAAGGGAATGCATCTTCAATGAAGACAGGAAATCTAACTTGGTAGCATTCTGCATCTGGCTTTCCAGCACCTGAAAATCAATTTATATGCTGATTTCCACCTTGACAATTCTCCATACCAACACCACACTTCCCATGCATATATTTTGGATGCTCACAGAGAGTACAACATTTGTGACAATGTCACCAGCACTAGCCAGGCGACTGAACTTCAGCACAGTGGATAGAATGTCCAGAGTCACCTCATGGACCTCCTCTGATTGAGATTTGCTGAAGAGAACTCCACTGCAACACAGCAGGATGCATTGGACATCTGAGAGGAGACTTCCCTCCCGAAAACTCACTAAGTCCTTGAGCACTTTTAGCAGCTTTGATATCTCTTCACTTTTCCCTTCCTCTCCAGAGAGTTTTTCCACTTGGTCCTGCAAAAGCACAGAGCTTGCTAAGCCAGTCTGTGGATGTGGTTTTGCATATTTGAGGGTCATGGATCATGAATGACAATTAGGAAAGTGGATACCCTTGGTATCTGATACCTGCATTTTAAAGTTTCCTAACACCATATGAACTACATCAAAAACTGAAGTTTAATGCAGGGTGAGTTTTTAAACATCATACTCTTTGAATATGCTATCACTGTCATGTCCTATGTTCTGTTCCTAGCTAGGAACAGAAAACCTGGCAAAAGTCACAAGCACATATGGGGAATTTATACCCACCAGGTTGTACAGAATGGTTATATGCACCATACAACTGATTTCTTTTTTATGTTTCTCTTAAGACAGAAAGCCAGCAATCACAGTACAGTAATATTTTGGCCTTGGAAAAGAAACCATTCTGTGGCTGGTGAAGAAATTAAAATTCATGTGACTGTTTTTTATGGGACTTCTGAAAGAACTGAATGATTTAACATAATCCCCAAATGGTTGCAGAGATGCATAATTTTTCCAAGGATACACTGCAGGTAGTCCTCTAGTCATATACAATTACACTCTGCACCTACATCACATTACTGAACAGGAAAACGGATATAATGAACATGTCCCTTCATTGAGCAATCAATTACCAATACATGCTCATGATTTGCCAAGTTACCCATTTCTAGCTTCAACAATGCATGTTATGCCATTTTCAAATAAAATTATGCTTAAAAATCACCCAGTACAATCACTAGGAATTGCACAGGACACAAGATCATTGCAAATTATTCTTGCCCAGATATTTTGAGTCAATTAAGCTATAATTTCAAATTCTGCTCATATAACACAAAGACAGCTTAGAACCAGGACAGAAAGTCCAAGTTCTAAAAAAGAGTAGGTGGAATAAAAGAATAAGAGAATCCAGCTTCACCAACCAGAAGAAGTTTCCAGATGAGGATAGAAGACTCCTGATCAACATGGAGGACCAAATTCTGGAAGGCAACTTCAATTGTCTCAAAGACCACATGAGACTCTAAGCTGGGCTCATTCAGGAGGGAAAGAATGAGTGAAAGCAGAGATTCTGAACATGTGTGCAATGTGTGTCTCACTCCCTTCATGGCTTCAGAGAGGACATGCCCCAAGCCTCTCTTCCTCTGGTTTCCATACAAACGAACAATGAGCATACAAAAAACTGAAAAATTAAACAAGGTTAAGCAGGGGGCTAACCTGGGGATGTTCCACCAATTTTTGAAAAGCTCTAAGTAGGAAAGCCTTTTTGTCTGGGATCTTGCGAAAGAGAAAAGCAAAACTCTGGGCAGCAAACTTTTGAATGTGTTCAGGTCGACTCTCCTCCAGCAGGCAGGAATAAAGGTCAAACATCCCCTCAAGATCCTTGAGGATCTGACGCCATAGATATTTGTAGAGATGGGCCACAGCCATGAAGGTCCATTCAATGCGTTCTGGGTCCTTTGTCTCCAAAAGGGATGTAAGAATCTCAAAGAATTTTGGGAAATATGGTTGGAAATCTGACTGGAGGTCTCGAGCTATGGCCACGGTCAGCCTGGAAACATGGAAAATTATAAAATTACATAGAATTTCCAAGGAAAAAAAAATCTTTGGTATAAGAAAATGGATTTCAGACTCAAGCAATGGCTGAAGAGCTAGACTCTTTTCCTTTTGTAGGTGTTCCTGAAGAGTCTCAATGATGGCTTTTTGCCTGTGAACAACCTGAGCCAGGGTCTGGATCTCAGGCCCCAGGTCAGCCAGGAAATTATCAAAATCCTTGGTGCAGTTGAGGTCCTTCCATTTCAGAACACCTTCATAAAAGAATGTCTCCTCATCCTCAGGGATGATCGATCGACTGTCCCTGTATCGATGCACCACATCCACTCTGATCTTCCCAATGCGCTCTGAGAATGTCTCAAACTGAAACACAAGCCAAATTCCTAAATCTTGTTTTCATCATTCAAGGCAGTCACTTTGATTCTCAGCATGTCACGATTGAGAATAAATTCACGATTAAGATAGAGTAGGTTATACATAGAGAATGAATGGATAAGGCGTCTTCTAATGATACCCACTCTCTTGAAGAGCATTTAGTTCAAAATTGATAGCATCATTCTCCTGCACTTGTGAATGGTATTAACATGCTGGGTTCTACAACCAAACTTGTCTCAACCAATGATGTTTTTGTCAGCTGATCAGAATTTAAATTCAGTTATTTTCAGATTGATGGCATAATTTCTACTTTCATCATATATTCATCAGTTCAAAATTATTTACAATTATGTTATCAGTATAGCTGAAATTTGTCACATTGTGTCTGAAAATATAACTTCTTAAAGACTACTGCCCAAATGAACATTTTTTGCCAAATTTTATCAGAGCAAAAACACTGGGAGTTCCCATGAAACCCATCAAATCAATCCCATCACCTTGAGCACATGTATTAGACAGTCCTATTTATTTCTTAAACCTTTCAGGTTCGACAGATGTACAGGGTGTCCCATAAGTATGACAAACACTTACAAATATACAGTGGAATACAAATAGATTGCCAAAAGTATATCTCCCAAAGTTTCCAGAGTGATTTTTCCATAACTCTCTTGAAGGTCAAGGAGGGGCTATATCATGCAGTGGTTTCTTCGGCAATGAAGGAGATGTCTTGAGCCAACAAGGAGGGGTTAAGGAAGGGTTTTATAGCAATGATGATACCACCAACAGGCCTTCCAGGGCCTTGCTGCTTAGTCGCTAGTGTATGATAGCAATAAAAGCCCTGAATGTCGATTGCTTTAATCAGAAAAGTTTCGGTAAGACATAGTGTGCCTTGGCTAAGTAGGATCTCCTGATGAGGCAGGAGGCTTAATAGGGACTTGAGCCCTTCAACTTTCCTTAGGAGGGAGCTGAGGAAAATGTTCCCTCTCCTGGCGTACTTTACTCTTACTCGCTTTCCACCACGTTTACCGTGATGAGTCCTTGTATAAAAGGGCTGTGAAGGTAGATGCTCCGCCTTTATGGGCAATAGATGGAGGTGGTTTAGGAGCTTTCCAATTGCTACGAGATGCAACTCTTGATGCTGTGCCCATTCAACAGATGCGGAAAATGAAAGGATAACCCTGGTTCGACCGGGAATGCTGAGTTGCTCTAAACAAGGTTCTGAAAACTCTACGCCTAGCAAAAATAAATCCCAGGGCATATGCAGAATACTCGCATCGACGAAGATAGTACAAGCAACCACTCTCTCCCAAGATTTCAGTGACCTGGACCATCTTTATAATACCAGAAACCATCTACCACTTAACCCTTTCATGGCTGAATTAAGAAAACGAATAACAAGAACCTTTTTTCACCGCTTTTTCTATTGAACAGGCCTAGCTAAAGACGGAGCTTGCAGAAAATTAAAAATATTTACTCATATGCTCAAAAACTGTATTTTTTTTATTGCAAAAATCATTAACCGAAGATATTGAATAACAGGCCATTGTTCACACATAGGGAACCCCTAAAACATGGCCTTTGTCCCAATTTTATCTGTCTATTCTTGCAGCATGCGGGCATATTTTTCCCTTCTCCAAAAAAAAAAGATTTAAAAAATAATAATTTTTCGTTCAAAATTCTATCTCACAAAAAATCAAACATATCAGGTCACAACTTTTCCTTTTGATCCAACTTGCCTGAACTACAACCTATTTGAATGAATGATGCATCACCAAAGAGCCCTTTTCGAGAGCTATTAAGCGGTACCATATCAAACAGGTTTTGCTCAATGGTAACTGCAAGAGCAGTCTCAAAAGATATGATCCTTATAATGATCATACGCCATGAAAGGGTTAATGCACCATTCAGCGAGGAGGAAGTTACCGACGCTTTACTCTCCTTCCCAGACAAGGCCACAGGTATTGACGACATCTGCTACGAGCATCTCAAAGGGTCGGTCGGCGTTACAAGTATCTGTGGACTAGACTTCAATATACGAGGTCTAATAATAAAAAAAAGTTCCAGTACTTTTATTTGTAAACTTTATTTTTAATAAGTACATTAAAATTAATTGTTGTCCCTTCAAAGTATTCCCCCCTCGATGCTATGCACTTATCCCAATGCTCCTGCAACTTCTGGAAGCAGTGCTGGAAGACTCTTAAGACTCTTAGCTGCCTCGTCGCATTTTCCTTGATGCTTGCAATGTCTTCAAATATTTTTCCTTTCAGATGAAATTTAATCTTGGGAAACAGGAAAAAGTCACACGGAGTCAGATACGGTGAATAGGGAGGGTGGGGCAACATAGGAATTTTTCTTTTTAGTCAAAAACTCTCGAATTGTGAGAGCAGTGTGGGCTGGAGCATTGTCGTGTTGCAAAAACCAGGCTTCATTTTGGAAAAGTTGGGGCCATTTTCTCCTAATTTTTTCTCGCAGACGGGTCAAAACATCTTTGTAGTAAGCCTGGTTAACTGTCTGGCCTTGTGGGGCAAACTCATGATGCATCAGGATCATGATGCATGATCGAAAATTCGACGAAGAGCACCGAGACAACCGGATTTCAACACTCGTGATTCGCGACTGGTTAATCCTAGCGCAAAGAATGTTTCAACATGCGTGCGGTTAGCCCCCCCTCCATCTACTCTAGTCCTAGCCCCCTACCTACAGCGGTTTATTTTTTTTAACAAGAAAGTCCTGGAACTTTTTGATCAGACCTCGTACCTGAAAGCTGTGCTGATTAGAAATAGGACACAACTATCTCCACGTGCACTACCGCCTCGTAAACCTGTCTCACGAGCTCTCACCACCTCTGCTCATTCGAAATCCCCTCGTATTGCTTGGAGGTGGGTACCTTCGCTCGAACCAAGCCATTTTTTTGACACTACTTTAGGTAAAGTGGTACTGCTCTGCAATCACCAGAAGTATCACAAGTTTGTTACTGCAGAGACTAAAGACATGCACTGACAGGTTACAGCAATCGCCAGTAGCCCAGTGTTGCCACACGCATTACAGTGTTGTCAGTCTCGTTATTATATTGTCAGACCTCGTATGCTATGCTCATTTTGACAAAATTCGCGCCAAAAAGGGAGAAAATGCTAAGCGGCATGAGCAACCGTCCTTATATCTCGACCTTGAATGAGCATACGCAACACGACCTGAAGTCAGGATAGCATGCCTCGAACCAGAGGTACTCTTCCCTTCCAGCCTTCATAACTGATGTATCCATTCCTAAAGGAGACAATCCACTGAATCAAACACAAGGTTGTTAGCTGAACTCGTGCTTAGCCATCAGTGAGAATTGCAGTGTTGCATACAGTATTCTCTACCCATCTCCGAACCTAACTCCTACTGTTCAAGAGTTATTGAAAGATAGCCTACAACTGGAATGAGCTTGACCAGCTTCTTACGACCACCCCACTTACACTTTTATTCGGAAATTTGAGATGGTTATTGCATTGCCTACGTCCCCCCATCCCATCACTACCACCTCCGAAACGGACTTCCGCATTTCTCCAATTAAGTGCGTCCCTGTTACAAGAAATGTTCAACAAAGGCAGGTTGTACTTCCATATTCTCTGCATTTTTATTCAATGCAAATAAGTTAGGGCTCTATACAACAAGAACTGACAAGACAATACAATCAATTGAACTGGACAAAAATATCGACCACCCTGGAAGCAACATGAGAAAATAAGCCTGAAAATTCCCAATATAATCAATTCTGAAAACATCAAAGGAAAAACGCTTCAGGCCAGGCTCTGTAACAAGAAAGAGATGAATAAAAGAATGTCTTCTTAATCATCAATCTCAGAATCTGAACCACCAAGGGGTTGAATTGCAAACATTGGTCCTCAAGAACAGGGCAGGAAAGCACATTCTCTGCACTGTGACAGGGAGAAATGCCAGTGAAATAAAACTGTTGATCAACAACCACTTCCATGAAAAGCGAAAAAGTTTGTTCTTTTTAATTTTGAAGAGAGTCAATTTTAGCAAGTCATCACAAACATATATCTTCTGTCATCTTAACAGATGACAAATCGGTAACTGCTAATAGGGGGTGGAATTCTTGCAAGCAAGTGAAACAATAACATTGCTGTCCTAACACCATGATGATCAAGATGCTCCCTTTTTTGCTGCAGCCTCTGCAGCTTCTCTTTGTTCCATTTCCTTCTTTCGTAACTTCTTCCTCCGCTTGTCAATGCTCTGCAGCTCAGCCTTCAGCTCCATGTATGTCTTGCGCAAGTCAATGAGTTGGCGCTGTAGGATGGCAATGCGCTGCCTGGAATCACCTTCTGTTGGCATTTGGTCCTCCCAGCTAGGAATCTTGTGCTCTTCTTGCTCTCCACTCTCTTCACTAGATGACCTTTTGGGAGATCCTTCATGTGAACCACTGCTACTCTCAGGAGTAGTGGGTGGGGTGTTGTCAATGGTTGGACTACTCTCTTTGCCCTCAGGACTATTTGGAATTGTCTCATTGCAAACTAGGAACTGGTATCCTGACCCACACTGATCCTCCTTGGATTCATCATCCTCTCCTGTTTCACTACCCTCAGATTTCTTGTCACTTTTTAAGGTTTCTGCTGCAGCTACTACTGCAACTGCAGCTGCTGCTGCTATTGCTTCTGCATCAGCATCAGCATCAGCATCAGCATCGGCATCAGCCTCAGCATCAGCATCAGCATCTGCTTCTACTTCTGCATCTGCATCTGCATCTGCATCTGCATCTGCATCTGCATCTGCATCTGCATCTGCATCTGCTTCTGCTTCTGCTTCCTCCTTGTCTTCTTCAGGTGCTGCTGCTTCTTGGGTATCGGCTTCTGCTGCTTCTTCATCTTTTTCTTCTCTTTCTATCATCTTGGCTATCTTGGCTGGTGCTTCTGATGTCCTTTCATCGAGTTTCCTTTTCTGTGGCTCTTGAAAGGTCTCAACTGGTTTGTCATTCTTGGGAGGATCTTTCTTCACTTCTTTGGGCTTCTGAAGTTCAGCAAGGAGACGTGGAAAGGATGTTGCCATTGACAGTTTTGGTTTGGCATCTTGTTTCAAGGGAGTTAATGGAACTTGTACAGTAGATCTTTGCAGCTGATCAAAGAGTTCCTCACTTGAAAGCTGAGGTCGATCATCATCCTTCAGTGAATCTTCTTCCTCATCATCACTGTCAAGGAGAAATAGTCTCTTCTTCTGTGGTTCTTCAACTGTCTTGCTTCGTTGGACATGGTCAAGCTTTTTAGGACTTTTTTCTTCCTCAGCATCACAGAACTCGTATATATCCTCTTGCTTGATTTCACGTGTTTTTTTACTTGATTCTGAACCTGCAGGAATGCCTCCCTCTACATCCATTTGAAGTTCACTTAAGTTCTCTTCCTTCGCTGTCTTAGGCTCTGCTTCTGCTTTTCTTTCATCTTTCTCCACACTCTCCTCTCTCTGCTCTTTTTCATGCTTCTCTTCTTCCATTTCTTCTTCCTCATACTTGCTTTCCAGTTCTTCCAGTTCTACTTTCTTCCTCACAGGTTGCTCCCTGCGCCTCCCTCTGTTTTCTTCTGACTTCCTCTTTCGAGTTGATCTTGGTGTTTCAGCACGTTTCTGAGATCTTGTTCTTATAGGTGTTTCTATTTCTCCATCAGATTCATCATCAGCATCAGAGTTCCCTGAACCCTGATCAGATTCAGGCTTTTGTTGCTTCACTCCTGAGGTCTTTCTCTGCCCTGGAGTTTGAGGAGGTCTCCCAGGTGAAATTTTCCCCTTCCTTTTTGCTTCTTCAATCTCCTTCTTCAAATCTCCTCGCTCATTCTGAGAGATTCTTCTTGTCTTCATTCCCTGATGCTGTTTCTTTGCTCGTTCAAGTGTCCATGTGAGATTCTCAGTTATGTGCTTCCGCTTGACCCATTCATCATATCGTGGGTTCCACCCCTTATAGTGCACAAAGTACTTCATTATATTCCCTTTCTTTTCTACCTTCAAGATCTTGGCTTCATAAGTCATAAGCTTGGACCGGTCCTTGCGGCCAGGGTTGTAGATAACTCGAACCTGGTCATTGGGTTGGATGTCAGCATCAAGTGGCAATGGGCCAGGATCATCATCACTTTCAGCCTCTGAACTGTCACTCATCTTCTCCTTTTTGATTGGTGGTTTCTTTGAGTCTTCAATAGCTTTGCACTTCTTGAGAGAGAGCTTCTCCTTTTCCTTCTCCCTTTCCCTTTCCTTTTCTTTCTCTCTTTCCCTTTCCTTCTCTCTTTCCTTTTCCTTCTGTCTTTCCTTTTCCTTTTCCTTCTCTTTCTCCCTCTCCCTTTCTTTTTCTCTTTCCTTTTCTTTTTCTCTTTCCTTTTCTTTCTGTCTTTCCTTTTCTTTTTCTCTTTCCTTTTCTTTCTGTCTTTCCTTTTCTTTTTCTCTTTCCTTTTCCTTTTCCTTTTCCTTCTCCCTCTCCCTCTCCCTCTCTTTCTCTTTTTCTTTCTCCCTTTCCCTTTCCTTTTCCTTCTCCTTCTCATGAGGGGTTGGAGTGCCAGCTTTTGAGGAGTTGGAACCAGCAGGGGACGGAGAATGCACACGAGCCCTCTCAGTGCTTCGAATTAGGCTGCGCCCTGACTGATGTCTTGTGCGAGACAAGTGGGTATGACTCAGGAATGTGCAGCCAAGCTTTCGGTAGAAATCCTCAAAACTGAAAAGATACCTTTTATATGCCTGCTTCAGGCAGTGGGATCCAGATGCCATGGAAGGTAGACTCATCTTTGAGTAAACTACCTTCCATTGCATATGATTTGAGACTCGATTATATCCACCCATTTTGTGTACTTGCTTGAAAAGCTTGTAGAGGTCAAGGTCATGGGAACCAACACTTGGGGCTTTGTTGATGGGAGTGCCTCGGTCATCCATGAATTTGTATAGTTGAGCCACAAAGTGATCCTTCTCCTCTCGTGGTTCATCATCTGAGCTGTCCGAGTCCTCACTGGAATCTCGATCTGAAATCAAATCCCACCCAAACAACAAATCCCTGTCCCAATGTGGTGGGAGCTCATCCTTATCAAGATACAAATTGGCTTTCTCCACTGCTATTTTCAGGGAATGGCTCTCAACACGGGATCCAATGGCCTTGGTAAACTCCCTGGCCTCACGCTTTGGGACGGTATAATAACGGCCATCATGGAAAGACCGTACCAGGTACTCAGAAGAGACTTTGATTTTCACAGTATCTTGTGCAGTGGGGGCAACGACTAAACCAGGAAACCAGTTGTCTTTTTGCTTCTTCTTCTCAGTCATTTCAACACATACAACCCGACCAACATTAGCCTCCTTCTCCACCTTCTTCACTTTCCCCTTTTTTACGTTGTCTTCATTCTCCTCCTCTTCTTCATCATCAGAAGTTTCATCATCATCTTTTGCAGCACGTCGCCTTCTCACAGTCCCACTCACTGGTACAGGAGTGCCAAAGTGCTCTGGATTGGTCAATGGCAATTGATCCAAACTTTCACTCTCAGCAAAATGTCTCCCAGATTTCAGACACAAGGAAGTTCTCCTTAGGGTTGTGATGTCACCATCATCAAAGACTACTGTATACAGACTACAGTCCTGAATCTTGGAGATAGTAGCTTCCAAGAACTGGTTTTTATCTGGATGTTTGGCTTCCACCAAGCTTCCAGCTCTTAGAGTTCCTTTGATATTGTCATCAGTCACAACTGCACTTCCAAACCCACGTTTGAATGTCACTCTGGCCTTTACACTCTTCACTACTTTCCTGATCTTGGCCTCACAAAAGGCACCTTTGTACTTGGCACTCACTTCAGTCCCAACTGCCAGAAGAGGAGGATCATCCCCCATCATGGTTTTGATTTTTACCAGTATGACTTCTTTCACTTAGACTGTTTGATCATGCGCTTGAGATTCTCCAAGGATTTCTCTCCATAAGAAATCTTCATGTTCACTGCCATCTGAAATAAAAGAGTAGTCAGTCAGACACATAATTTGAGGGCTAATGCAACCAAGAAAACCATTGCCAGACAAATATAAATTTCAATTGAGTAACAAGTGAATAAATATATTTATCTTTAGTCTTCTTTCCACAATTAAAAAGTAAACATGCATAATCCATCAGTGGAAGCTGTTCCATCAATCAACCACCTCCAAAAGAGCATGAGGATAGGAACATGTCATCTTTTCTCCCTTTTGATTGTTAATTGTTCCATTGTATGTAGGTAGAGATTATATCCACCAGGAAAACCCCTGCAGTATTTGGAATTTCTATCATTTTCCCCACACACAGGCCACTCAATAAGTCTCACCACTTCATAACTTTGAGGTTCAATTTTGTCATTCTATTTATTCAAATTACAATGATTCCAAAGCATAATTTGTTTAGCAAGGCAACTTCAAAATTCAGTGACTCAGATCCTATACCTCTGTGAGCCAGAAAATCCTGTGATCATAACACAAACAAACTTTAGATCAAAATATTTAAGCAATTTGCCTGATTCTGGAGACCATCAGAATTCATAATGACTCCTAGGATCCACCATTGGTGAGTACCCTAACTTACTTGCATTTTTATAGTTATGCACTCAACGCAAAAAAGTTGAATCAGTTCACATCGTGCTAAAGACAATGGAAACATGCTCAAAAAGCCTGAGATATCTCACCATATTTCAGGTGTCATGTCAGGATAGATGGGATACCAAATCCCCAACATTTTTAGTTCATACTGGTCCTATATTCTTTAGATGCATGAGCAGAGATGATTCACCATAATTAAACAAATTTTATCCATGGATGTTCTAGAAAACAAATAAGTTGTCTGTCAAGTCATTTTTCCTAAAATTTACAAACATTCCAAGGGTACTAGCATCATTTCCCTGATCAGTCAACCTGAAGGCTTCAGGGAAGCATGCCAAAGGTTCTGGAAAACTTTCCCATAGTTTGTTAAATGTTAAACTGCCAGCAGGTGATAGATCCAGAATCCAGTACTTGCTAAATTTTATGTCCAAATGTTCTTGAAAAAACCTGAACCCAACAGCTTTTTAATGTGTACATAATTGATGGAGAGTTTCCCATTCTTTTGGCATGATATTATTCAGGGAAAAATTGTAAAGAAGCCATTAGTGGGAATTTTTTAAAATCAGTGTGTAGATCTGTTATTTCCCAACATAACTCATCATCAAAGTATGGTCAAAATCATAATCCACCATGATATTCAGAATTCAACAGGAGGCCATGCTGTTCCTGTATATCCTGTTTCATTCAACCCTCTGGTGATACCTGAGACAAATATAATGAGAGCAGATGATTGTCATACATTCACACTGACAACTTTCTTCGGTTGCCAAATGTTGAAGGGTTGTTTAATCACTCTAGCAGTTGAGGCACCCTGCAGCCAACAATTTCCCAGTAATATCAATTGCCCTTGAAGTGCTGACACCATCAGCAGTGATCGCAGCAATGCTAGCTGTGCCTTGCAAATGAAGTCAAGTATGTAGGAAAAAATTTAATTTTAACACCATTATAAGAAATGCTTATATATCTATGGTGATCAATATTTTGACTTCACCTCCAATTTGGCTGATGAACACATAAATGCATTGAGCTTGCTATCCTTGATGTAAAATCATGGCTTACAGAAAGAAAAAAATTGAGCATCCTGATGTTCTTCACAATGAATGGAATAAAAACTGAGGTAGCTCACATGAATTGGCTTAATCATGCCATGGTAACTTTTTTCTATTACTATCAAGAATGTCCTATACCTTCTGGTGTGACCCTTGTGAAATTCTATCCTGTTCCTTAAAAATTATAGCAGTTTTATTGCTGGTAGCAGAGGTGGGAAAAGTTCTGTAACCTGGTAACCAGGTAGGGTAAGGACTGATTGTGAAGGCAAGGAAGGGAGAAGCAATATCAGTGACTAGAAAACTGGGAAGGTAAACAATGGTTACTGGGAAGCAGATGATCTTTTCCAACCTCTGGCAGGTAATATGACTTTCTTAGGGAGTATGGTTAACTAGGGATTGTAAATAAATATGATAATGCAACTGCAACTAAAATAGCCCAGTAGTAACAGCATGTTCAAAAATTGGAAACTTTTCAACTATGATAACCTTGTCTGCATTTTTATGCTACTAGTAAGACATATGTCTACCTGGAATTGCATACTTACAAAACCAACTTAGAGATTTTTAAAGTAAGAATGTGAGCTGGAGTTATAGCAGACTTGGAATTGCTCAACTCATGCAGTAACCACATAATGGGTCAATGTAAATCAGTCAGCCTGCAGTAAATTAAGTGTACTCCTCACCTCATCAGTCTCCCCCATGTTGCTCTTGAAGTCTTTTCTCACCCAATCATGCAGCTCTTCTTGATCTTTTTTGTCAGGTAATATTTTCACAACTTTCAAAAGGTTTTTGTAGAGAGTCAGAACTTTCCTCCTCCTCAGGAACTAATCCAGAAGAAACAACATGGCATGTCAGCATTATTAGCCTGTTGAGGAGTGAATTTTGGAGTGCGCCTTGCCCTTGGGAGTGAGTTTTTTGGCGACTCAGGGGATATCCTATAATAGCACAGTTTGATGTTTCAGAGGTAATGTCCAGGATAAAACCTTTAGTTTATTTTTAAAACATGTTCCAAAGTATACTTAGAAAGGTTTAGTTGCATCAAATGCATAGATTCATTGGAATTTGATCAAATTAAAATATCAAGTTGAATTTAACTTTTGAGTGCTCCATTAAATGAATTTGATAGAGACAGTACTGATTTATGCCAGTTTTAATCTTAATTATGTAATAATTGCTGAGGTAGACATGCAAAATCTTACCATTCACCTTTTTCAACCACTATTTCCCAAAAATTCTGTCCAATTACCCAAGTTTTGCGCTTTCAAATGCAAGTAGAAGTGACAGCTAAGGATCGTTTTCTGCCACATCAGCCAAGTATATGGATCATCTTGAAATCCTTATCAAATGTTACCCAATCTAGATCCCTTATTGTTCATCAAGTAGCCTCCTTCTGTATGAAGGAAACAATGTATACCCAACGTTGGGAAATTACTTTTAATCTCTCCCTTGGATTGTTGCTATTGTCACACGTTTGCTTTCTTGATGCCATGGCTAACAGCTCACTGATCAGCTATACCCTTTGTAAATAAAAAGCATTTTGTCACATAAATTGATTCCTAGTGTTACTCATTAAAGTTCCTTGACTTGCAGATAGATAGCAGAAGCTGCCATTACTGTTTTAGACCGAACCATAAATATACAGGCATACTCTTCAAAGGGTTAACTGAACAATGAAAAATATCTTTATGCCTCTTGCAGGATTCATTTCTCATCACAACCTCCAATCTTCTTCTCCAAGTGACTTCAACCTATTCTTTAACATCTGTACTATTCTTCGATGATACACTTATAATCACTTAACCCATTCAAGCACCTATCAGTCAGTCAGCCTGCCAGATGCCTGAATGTACTGAAAAAAAAAAAGTTTCTAAAAGCTCATGAGCATATGAAACTAGTACCAAATTAATAGGATTTAGAATAAAAGGTCAATTCAACATCTCCATTAGACCTACTCAATTGAATGGCCACCACCTCACTTAACCTATTGGCATTGGAATTATTACAATATGTACGTACCATATTTGTGTGGAGCCATATTCTCAAATACATGTGTTACATAACTAAGAATTTTTCCTATAAAGGATAAACCAATAGAAGACAGACTTCCAATGCTTTCTGTTTGTCAACATTGTGACAACAATGTCGACAAACATCAACTGTCAACAAGTGAACAGTTCACATGTAAAATATAGATACAAGACAGTCTTGTAGTTCTATACAGGGTGGTCCAAAAGTCTCCATACATAGGGAAAATTAACATTTTTAAACAAAATGTAACTTTATTCACAAAATATGCTCTACATGGTTGCCATTACTTTGAAAACACATATGGATGCGACTCTCCCATTCATGGTGAACTCCCATTAATACACCTGGTGTCATGTGTCATGTTAAAGTTAAACATGTGTTATGTTAAAGTTGGTAAAGTTGTTAATTTTCCCTATGTATGGAGACTTTGGACCACCCTGTAGAATGGTCTGGTAGCAATATTACGAGATGGTCTTGTAGTCTACGCCGATGGGTTAACTACAACAAGGGAATGGAATTGGTATTTTCTTTGCTGATTTTAAGTACTGGCAGAACAATATGGGTTTGGCTAATAATCACACTTCTGATAATCAGTTCATCAAAGACATCACTATACCAAACATTGGCTGTCAATAACTAATATATTGGCCATTCTGTCATTGGCTTCTCTCCAATATACACTCTTCCCTCTTCTCTTAGACACAAGCCTATCATTGTTGATTGAGGAATTTACAAGGGAAGCTAATCACCACTACCTTGAAGACCTCACAGATTCAATTGAAAAAAGGCCTCAACAGAATGTAAAATTTAAATTAACTTAAATTTTATAGTGTAATTCAAATCCTTGACCAGAGAAAGGAATCATAATACATTCATTGAATTGGGAGAAACATGTATTTCTAAGTCATAGTAAGCTGATATAAATTAAATAGTAGCCGAACACAAATAAACAATTCCAAAAATAGGTCAATATGCTAACACACTGATCCTAACATTAGTGCCACCACTAAATTTTAAACATAAACTTATCATTTCCTAAGTTATCGTGTCAACTATTATGCATTGCATGTTAAATGCACACCACAACAACCACAACACACAAGTTCTGCTTTGGCTTCATGACAGGTGATGCCCTCATCCTATGTGAATCATGCACACTGCCATGTCCCTGATGCACATGAGCAAAGTATGTCCATTCATCCATGCCAATATTTGAGACCTTTTAGAGACTCTGAGCAAGTGACAAGTGTGTAGTTACCAACTTCTACGACAGCATAATGATTGCTACAGTATTGCATGGAATTGGATTTCTTGGCAGCAACCTATAGATTCGGGGATAACTTGAACCCCTGGATCCGCAATGCATATAATTATTGGTAAAGAATACAATAAATTCAGGTTTATGCAGGTCCAAGAACAGTGGTGCACACAGAATGAGGGTCTTGCCTGTTGTGCAGCATATTTACAGGTGGGTATGCATCATGAAGCTCATACAGGACTCGATATGAGTCATGGTCAACAGGATATGTTGCTAGACTGTACATCAACCACAAGCAATCCAATGCTAAAGAGGATTCTGATTGTCAGGAATCCATCAGATTAACCCTATCTCAGTTAAGAAAAACCTTTTTTTTCTCTCACCTCACCTTGGGGGTTGGGGAAGGAAGGAAAAAAAAGGTTTTTCTAAACTGAGACAGTGTTAATAGATTCCCAAGAAACAGGTTTGACATCCTCACATCCATCTGCTTGCAAGAACTTTCGCAAGAGAGGAACATGTGAAGAGGAATGAAGAGAAGGGAGAGTGGACACATAACACAGTACATGTAATGTACAATATCTCAACTATCCTTTTCAAATTTTAACTCATGTTTGAAACCTTTAAAGTAATTAGACTAGGGACATGGTAGTAGAGTTCAACTATCGAATACAATAATATTACATAGTGAGGCGGAATCCATCCTTCCTGTGTAAAAATCATTCTGGAACAGCTCTCATCTAGATCTAATGTCATATAGAGGCTGTAGGTTATAATGCATACAATAGTGACAATTCCAGCAAATGAAATTTGTGAGAATTAGAAATATGATACCTGGGATTCTTTTGAAGATTGAGGATTGCTCTATTTTCCTAGGAAATTCCCATAAGAAACAGGATAAAAGAGAGTTAAGTTGTGCCAAAATTTCACTTTCAACCTACCTGAAATAATATACCAGTCACAAGGCACCAACATACATCTACATTAAATCTGACCTACCTTATCACTGACAAATTCATGGTTTAAAGGCATCTGATGATAATTACCTACTAGACATGGACAGGAGGAATTGATTTTTACTTATCTCTGAGTCATTAAAAAGAATAAAACTTGACAGTGTAGTCAAGCATTACATCCTTCCATAATGTAAATTGAATTAAACGTACCATCTCTTTGAATGATTTCATTTAAAGGACTCCAAATGAAAATGGTAACATGAGCATCAAGAGTTTCATGGGAGACAAAACAGTCAAGTGGTGTAGAAGCCAGTGACCATGAATCACATCTGTACCCATACTCTCAAAATGACTTGTCGATTTAAGTTCACTAATGCCTTGAATTCGGGTGGAATTGAATTCTGCGATTCAGATGTCACATTTTCTCATTTTTGCATAGGCCTACTGCAGACATTTAGAGCTTAATCGATCTAAGCGAGATTGTGGTCGAACCAATGTACACTTTGGAGACCCTTCTAATTCTGATCCCCACTTCACTTAAAATAATTACACATCCTATTATGTTCAGTAGGACCTCCCATTCGTCTCATAATAGTTAAGAGAATGAAATGGGTAGCAGTATCGAGTACCGATTACCGCACAATTCTACCACCTATGGTAGTTCCATGGCCTTTCTGCCAGGTACATAGTCAGCGATTGAAGAGAAATTAAAGGAAAATACAAAAGGGGGCCTGGGTGAGCCCGTAGAGATTTACCTGACGCAGATTGGGCACATGAGTCAGCGAACGAGAGGGCGCCATACCAGGGAAAGTAGTTTAGCAATTCTCATCCCCGATTGGATGATATCTATTACGTCGTCTGCTGACGCACTGTATCTGCTTTCATCATTGGTCGCTTTCTCCGCTTTCGTCTGCTCTTACGCGTCCTCGACCAAGTGTATGTGAATCAGCTGATGGCCTTGCCTTCGCGTCGTCGAAGTCGTGAAAGTCAGACGATCTTGCCCGGGACATTTTGCAATTTCGGGGGCTAATTATTTAAATTGAATAAAGAGTAGTGCTATTGGATCAGACAAGAAGCTTCAACGAAATTTTCTCGAAAACCGAGTGCCAACTTGGCAAGTACTGCAATGCACAGCTGTCTGATTCATCGCCTGCCCCTCTGTCTTTCTGTCTTCTGGCCTCTCTTTTCTTTCATTTCACAGTTCTTCGTCATAAATAATATAGGGGTCAATGTTTACCGGATGATTGAGGATAAAAATTGAAAGCATTACAAAATGTGCTCTCAGTTGTTTTAAGTTGGAGACGTGCGCATATTTGCATTCTATGAAATATCTCCTTCCGCATTTGGAATTGAAGGTAAATTCTTCATTCAGGGAAAATTGTCAACAAAAACGTAATAAGAATAAATACGTTAACGCAATACTGAATTAAATTTGTAAGGTGCATGCTGGGGCAAGGCAGCTGGCGCTCTGCCTGGACAAGAAAAAGTCGGACGCATGCGCGCTGTGATGGATGACGACCTCCTCGTGGTAGTGGATTGGCGGGAATGACGGGAACTCCCATTATGATCGTAGGAATCAGATGGAGGGAGACAGTCTTAGGTAGGCTTGACAATCTTCTTTCTACTTTATTTTAAATTGATTCTTAACAATTCCTTTGACATGTGGAAGCGTATGCTTTCCCTTAATATTTGGCATGAATGTTTCCACCTCGCCAGCCTTCAGTGTGCAATAGATGTGCCAGTGTTAGCCTATGCCTACGGTAGCCCTATTCCTACGTTTGGTGAAGCTGTTCTACGGCAGCGTCGACTAGGTGAACGTTTGCTTTATCACATAAAACTTAGCGGGCACGGAGAAGCCTAGGCCTGGTACATTCAGATTAGGTCTACGCCAAGCATAGTATGCTTTGGTTGGGATCAATCAGGGTAGACACGCCATTCCTTAGGTGCTTAGGCCAAAGTTCGATCGTTCTGATAAGTTGTTCCTAAATTTGATTGGCCTACAATGCACGTTTGGTTGATAGCTTGATAGGCTGGGGAAGAACCATCTTCTGCATACTGTAACGTCATCACAGACACCCAACTATTTGCTAGTTTCACCATGCCCTTACCCTATAGACCTTGGCTCATGGCCTCTGAAAAAATCCCTAGGAATGTGTACATCAGTCTAGCACTAACATGAGATCCTTCCTTTCTGTTTTTGCACCCATTTATCAATTGATCTTTCACTTACCATGTTCTCATCTTCCCCCCCCCCCCCCACCTCATACTTATGTGACATTAATCAAAGATATTTGAATTTATTGGAGAAAAAATTGTGGGATGCAGGAAATAGGACTCATAGTATTGACAAATGCTGAAGCTAAGTTACCTTAATTTTTTCACTTCTTTTGGCATTATGCACTACCAGAAAGACTTCCAAAATATTTGTAGACTCAAGTGGGACCTCAGCACAAGTTGAAGAAATCTTCAAATTATTGGAGACACATTGAATGTCCTTTCCCAGTCACACACTGAAACATTCTCCATCTTCTACATTGCCATCTCCTCACCCTTTGAGGTGTGTGCGAGATATATATAACACTCAGCAGGTAGAGGAGATTAGCTACTATAAAATACCTTGTAATGAGCTCAAGAGGCACTATTGCTTGAGTGTTTTTATGACCCTGATTTGGGTTTGGAGTACCTGTATTGGATACCCAGAGTATTTAAGTCTTTTTTGCATTGAATTGAGTAAATTAGTAGTAAATAATTGAGAACCACAGCCAACGGCCAACCCACTAGCTGTTATGCTTGTTCCCAACAGAGTTGTTAAGTAGCTAATGATGCTGGCCATGATGCTTTGGTGTTGGAATCTGAACATGTATGTCCTGGTGGGTGGCTGTTATTCTCATAGATTCCACATTGCTGCAGGACATGCTTTCAAGTGAAACCAACCAATCAATTTGAATTGTCATATTTTCCAAGTTTGCCTGTACCTTCTTAGCTTCAGGTTAAGGCTTTAAATGTTAAATTTCCTTCCCCAGGTGCATTTTTTAAAAATAGGTCTAGACATTAGTCAGTTACCCATTCATTGGCATGTTGTGACTAGGAAAGTACATGTTCCATGATTGTAGAAGCATGTTATCATTATTTTGGCAGGTAAGGAACTAGTTACCTTTATTAGTTGCTGTTTCTACCAGTTTGGGATTGAATTCTTGAAGCAAGAAGTCTTTGTAATCCTTCATGTGGTATGCAAAGCCTTGTCATAGGGGGATCACTAAGGCCACTTCACATAACTGCCTATCAGCACCCACCAGCACTAGATCCTAATCACTTCAGTCACTACTTGCCTTGTTCTTTTACTATGCCTGTATCAAATATTCATTTTTATTTATTTAGACCATGTTGAAAGAAATAGTTAGTTTTGCATTAGACACTTTTGGTTTTGTTTTATCAGAAACATTAGCTAGGTAAATGAGGTTTATACTTTTGTGCTGCAATAATATTTTATTCTTATAATCCCTTTCATTCAATTTATTGGTATTTGTGTTTCCTCTGATAGCCAAGGTTTTTCACTATAAATAAACTATATTTTCAGCATCTTACTTTTATGTTAATGTTACAAAAAATTATTTTTTTTTAATACCTTTCTTATTTGTCTAAACAAAGATACAAAGCATGTAAGATGGAATAATCAAACTTGAGCCAAAATATTATTTCTGGCATGGCATTATTATCATTCTGCCTGTGAGATGGCAGCATGGACAGTGAGTTAAAAAAATATCTTGTATTCAGGTTTGTGACTAATCTTTAAATTGTTTATCTGATGATATAAGCAAAACTTGATGGTTGGCATTTTAAATTTGAATTGTGGTTTGACTTAATTTAGTTTGAAGTAAACAATCTTTTGGCTGAATGAACATGTGTGGGTCTCTGAGTAAGAATATGGAGCCTGTAGGGATTCCTGCCAGAATTTGCATGCATTGGACTTTTTTTTTGCTTGGCACTGAAAGCACCACACTATGATTTAATCACTGCCTGTGATTTGGGGAAACATGATAAATGTATGATATTGCACTGATTCATTGCATACAGAACCAGGAGAAGAGTCAAAGACTAAACAAAATGCCAGGTTCTTCTTGCAAGTCCCAGAAGAGTTAGATGTGTCCAAGAATTGCTGCTTTTTCATACCATGTATGACCTGTCATGTGACCCCACAGAGCTGGTTCCTTAGGTGCAGGTCTCAAGTTATATCAATACTGATCGCAAGGAATTTTCATTGGCAGGAGGCAATTGTCCTTGTCAGGTAGCATTCTTAGTTATATAGAAGTTTGGCAATGATATTATTTCTGCTGGGTGTGATTAGAAAAAAAGGGATCAGGTGAAGTTTCTGCAGTAAAAAGAAATGCAATGGTCCTGGCATTCTTCAGCCCGCTTTTTTATTATTTACTTCCAGCAACAAAAAATATCCTAAAGAAAAATGAAGTGAAAGGATGCTGTTGAACAGTTTTCTTTGGCCTTGACTAGCCTTTGTATGGAAATAATCCCTTTGAATCTCCCGCTTCAGACATACCTGGGTGAGCGCTACGGAATCTCATGCCCATAAAATATCCTTTATTTCTGATTGCCTGTCAGCAGGACGATCAAGATATTTGGAAGCTATGATTCAATGTGAACATGATTGCGAGGGGGAAAAGTAAAGAAGAGAGAACCCGTTTCCCCTGGAATTTGAAGCATGCATTCCATTCGTGGGTGGGAGGGCAGGGCCCCCGATTCAGGGTAAAAGAACCTTGTTTTTTAAAATATCGTTTCGTTTCCCTCCCCTTGTGTTGATCGAGGGAAATGTCCCTGGAGGGGGGGTTCAGAGGGGGAGAGTCTCTCTTCCGGAGTTTTTCTCACGAACAGAGGAATTCTCTTTGAGTGCCTCGCCCGTAGCCTGGGGGCATGGGCCATTATGTCATGAGGAGCCCGCCAAGACCCTTCCCTCTTCTTCTCTCCCAGTAGAGTCCTCTATCCTATCCTACCTTTCATTTTGTCCTGCATCACCAACACGTATAAACACTTACTCTACAATCTCCGTGTCATTCTTTTATTACATCTCCTGATCTGTCATGAGTGGACTGACCGGTACATGTATGACCCAATTCTGTTCATATTCATTATATGAAATTGAAAGGGCATTCATAATTGTGCCACTTAAGGATGTGCTTCTGTGGGAAAGTGTCACGTACGATTTGGGAATATGCCTGAATGAGGTAATAAGGGGAGAGATATAACCTTGGGCCAGGGTCTGGTTCAGCGCAGGGCTCTATGAGCTCGCACGTGCTGGCCAATGGTGTTGCGCTTTGGGATGCAGATGGCGGGGAATTCGATTTCCTCTCCCTCCCGCAGCTGGGCCCAGCCCATCCCCATCCCAATTCCGAGCCCTGTTTATCTCTGTTTGTGCCTCCCCTTTCTCGCAGGTCCCTTGTGATCTTTTTAATTAATGTGGAGTAGAGACGGAATGCATCAGTCTGGCCAGCATGAGTGGACTCACGCATCGCAAGTACGGATCCAAGTCAAAGTGGAGCAAGGAAGAAGTGAGTCTATATCTTTTATTTCCTCGTCCCTTGACCTCACGACAGATGTTTCTTTATTGGGATCGGAGAGGTGGAATGACTCATCAATCCACACGACTCTCTCTGGTCGTTTCTTACTGTAAAAACTGTTTCGGAGCGTACATCGGAGCCAATTGCTTACTTATGAATGCTAGGATGAGCGTTTGAAGAATCTGGTGGAGAGCCACGGAGATCAGTGGGAATATATCGCATCCCTCATGCCGGGGAAGACGGATGCCCAGTGTCAACATCGATGGAACAAAGTCGTCAATCCAGCTCTTGTCAAAGGACCCTGGACCAAAGAGGTAATGGAACCTGATAACAGGCTTGGCTCCTCTCTTTCTGTCTCTGGCAACATTTAGGATGCCGGGGGAAGCCCCCCCTCCCTGGTTCCATTTATTCTTAGCTGAAGTCCAGCTGTTATGCTTTCTTCCGGCTTCCGACGACCTATGCCTGCCGGCTCTTACCTTTATCCCTCCCTCTCTTCATTCCCTCCTCTCGTACAAGTTTGCTGGTTTTCATTTGCAACCCCTCGCTTCTACGTTTTCTTTGAATATTACGTGAATAGAGTTTCATCTCTCTCCAGAAATATATTAACCTCTAATGGAAAAAATCTGCTTGGCCTTCGCAGTGATGTCAGTCGACTAATATATTCTTGAGTGAGAGGATACTTCTGGTTGAAAGGATCCGTGAGACAGTCGTATGACTGCGGTTCCTGTTCCTCTTAGTGTGCGAGTGTAGCCGTCCTTTCCTGCCTTGTACGGCGTTTGTCATCGACGATGCCATATTTCGTAACTGCGACATCACCCAGTCGTCAGGGATGAATGGAAACAAGTCGGGTGGGGGGAGGCGTTTTTCATCGTCCATTCCCGCTGCGCGGTTCCGGTCTCAGGGAGGGATGGGAGAAGGAGCACTTGAGCGTGGGAAACTTCCCACTTCCACCTGTTTGAAAGACAGGCGCATCCCGTTCCCCTCTTTTCATCGCCCCACCCCTCGTTTGCATCACAAGCACATCCATGAATCTCCTGTCCTGTATCCCAGCTGTGGCGGTACCTTTCCGCAGTTCCATACCGTTTCTTTCCAGTTAACCTCAAGCTATGACCAGCTTGTCCCAGCCATTTGTGCTTTTCTGTGTTGTGCTTGCCTACGCTTATTTATTTATTTATTCGTTTCTAAACGATGCGATGATCGTTCCCTTATTGCTACTAAGGTCACTGGATTCAATTGATGAACTCACATTTGAGCGAGGAGGTTCGGCTTCATTTTTCAACATAAGAATGAAGAAAAATAAGTTTTCTCTATACTTGTGTTGAGGCACAAATCGTTTCTTGTTTCATTCCTTGGACTGCAATGCCTACCTCTATTTGACTCCATTTTCAATTTTTATATTCTTTTGCTTGCCCTGCAAGGGACGTTGTTTTACAGGATTCTTGTAAAATAAGGGGTTAGCTTTAAATTGAAGCACCTCCCGAATGGCTGGACAGAATTCAGTCATCTTTTGCATGTTGATGCCTGGCAGCATTTGGTTTTATTTATACATTTATATGTATGTGGTGTCTGTGGTCGCAAGTATGACAGATTGCCCAGACTTCTTGACATCCTGAACACTGGCTACACTGCGAACCTCCATTTCCATAGTAACTGAACCAATTCAGCATGTTGTGATGTAGTCTGTCATGTCTGATGTTTTCCTCTTAGTTGAGTCAAGTAAACATCTGAATCTAGACCAACGTGCAGAACCTTGTGATTGTAGCAGTTGCTGTAATTAACCTTTCCAAATCAAGTTTTAGTTCAAATATTATGATGTTAGTCACAATGTAGAAAGATTTAATATCTTAGAGGAATGATTTGAACCTGTTTGAACTACTGATGATGTAATTTATATTTTACCTTTTTAGTGCCACAGGAACTATATCATCGATCAAGCCTATGGATAAGCCACATGGCACTAAAAGGGTTAATGCAGATTTTGTGTTAAATATTCAAAGTCACATGTAGACACAGGACCAAAGGGATTAAAATCTCTTTAAAAATTTTAATTTCAGTATGGCTGAAGGAGCTTTATTTCTGATTCATGAATAGAAGATATTTGTCTAATTTTCTGCTTTGAAAAGTTTGGCAGACTTGGTGGGTATCATTTGGTTCAGTTTGGTGGTAGACAGATTAAAAAGGACAGTTCCATATATGGGGCAGATTGTCAGCATGGTGCAGGAAGCCAAAAACAAATGGTAGTTATAATTCAATATCAGCCATGATACCTGCATGTGTAGAAAATTGAAAAGCATTAATTAGTGACAACACCAAGCTTGCATAAGATCCAGAAGATCTGGGCTAGTTATTGGTCCAGACTCAAGTTTCTGAAAGGCCAGAGATGGGTTTTAAGGGTGAACATATTTCTATCCCTGGGCTTTGGTGTTAGAGTCTCTGGATTGCTAAAAGGAGAGAGACCGAAAGGCTTGAGTCTTCCTTTTACCTGGGAGAGTGTAATGGTATGGTAAAACCAAAACTGTGAACAGGATCAGCAGATTGGCCATGTGGGTATCAGTTTATTCCATGTTGGCATGGATGGAGTAGGCCGTTTGCCTCAACTTGTACTATTTTTCTCTGTAGTTGCCCTGCTTCTCAAAGTTTTACATTTTTTGCAAGGAAATGTGGATGTCCAGCTTTACCATGGGACATCTCTAATCACCTATTCATAATTGAACTCCCCTTATTTTGCAGTTAATGTCAAGTTTGAAGTCAACAAAAATTGGCTTTTTATGTGGTTCAGGATCAAACATCCTATTCTTCTCAGGTTTGGTTTGGGTTTGAATGAAACAAGATTGGTTTAATTCAGTTCAGTTCAGAACCTGAAGTCAATCCTGGAACTAGGCTAAAAGCTTCCATGACTGAATTAGAATCCCATTATTCAGACAGGATGTAAATCTTCAAAATGAGGTGAATTATTCTGGAGTTCAGCATGAAGTTTCAAATCGATCAAATGAGGATTTACACAAGGATTCAATTTGAGATTTGCCCTTTGCTTTACAGAAATGATCAATTGAATTAAGGGCAGTTGAAAAGTGCACAACACAGGAATCTGGACTTGTAGAACTTGCTTAAACAGTAGGATACAAATTAAAGTGTCTTTAGTGTGTTGATACTAGTGATGAATATGACTTGCAGGAGGATGCTAAGGTTGTTGAGTTGGTGCATAAGTATGGGGCCAAGCGCTGGACATTGATTGCAAAGCATCTCAAGGGTCGTATTGGAAAACAGTGTAGGGAGCGCTGGCACAATCATCTTAATCCAGAAATCAAGAAATCTGCTTGGACTGAAGAAGAGGATCAGATCATCTATGAAGCTCATAAGCAGTTTGGCAATCAATGGGCCAAGATTGCCAAGCTCCTCCCTGGAAGGTAAGTGATGAATGATGGAGGTGAGGTTCAGGAGAGAAATTCATCCCTAACCTGTGATGAGACTGGTTTTGTTTTCTTCAAGGACGGATAATGCTATCAAGAATCACTGGAATTCAACAATGAAGAAACGATATGAAATGGAGATGGGGATACCCACTGAGAAGCGGGTTCGACGATCTCGTCCCAAACGGGCTGAAAGTCTCACCTCCACATCCACTCCAGAAGATTCTCCTGTGTATTTTCATACACACATGAATGTCAGCTTTCATTCCCTTGCATAATTTTTTTCTCATGAATTGTATGAAATTAGGGATGAGGTTGTATGTTTGTCTAGGATGGAAGTGTGCCTCTAATCCCAGAAGAAGAAATTATGTATTCCACTCCAGATTCAGATCAGATGAATGAAGGGAAATCTGATGAGGGACTCCTATCTCCATTAAAGTGCGCTATGTTGCATTGCATCCATTTGTTTTCTATCTTTTACAATCCCATTATTGCTCTCCTCACCCAATTTTTATTCTCATTAGGTATTTGAGCATGGATCTCCTCTTTGAGCCCCATAGCACTTCTGCAAATATTCTTATCCCTAAGATGGAGCCAGGTGAGCAGATAACCAAGTCCTGTTAGCTGTAAGAGTCCTGTAAGTTGAGGGCTTTTCATGAGTACTAAGGAAAGCATGCTTTACAGGCACACCACCATCAATAGATGACAGTGGTATGGTCCATGACTCTGGATTTGGATCCACAGGCCCAACTATTTTGCGGAGGGGTTTTGGAAGGCATAGGGAGAACTCTTCTACTGATGATCAGGTGAGTTAGGTGAAATATTTTTAAAAGTTCTTTATAGCATTGACTGCAACCTTTCGAAGATGCAAATCTATTATTGCACAGGAGAATTTAAAAAATAAACCATTATATATCCTATTGTGTAATGCTCACATGGAAAAATTTTGCACTCTTTTTTTCAGGGTTATTTCACTGAAGTCACTCCACCCCACAAGGCTATTCCATTCCAGCCATCTCAGGTTAGACTTTGATCCAAATTAATTAAAAGTGAGCTGGAAGTATCTCAAGTTGTGCATGGAAGCATATTTGTCTTTTGCCTGTAGTTGCAGAACAGTCCACAACGAAATGTGATGGCTCATATGATGGAGACTATGCTTTGTACATCTACCCCGGTGTCTGTGAGTGTGTCAGGTCGAATGGGGCCTTACTCACATGTGGAGGAATTTGTTGACGGGATGCCTCGCACTCCTACACCCTTCAAAAATGCTCTTGCTGAAATTGAAAAGAAGCGTGGACCTGTAACTGACTTGGTCTGTCTTGTTTCCTCCCTTTACCTGTGTTCCACACCCATGCAGATTGACATTGAAAGTGAATGGTACTTACAGATGAGGAGTCCAACACACCTAGTGGAAGACTTGACTGAGATTATCTCTAATGATGCAGCTTTCAAGAATATTGGGGGCAAGTTGCATCAGGTCAGTGCCATTTGAAATCAGAAGTTGGAATCTTCTTTTGTGTTTGAAAATTTAGAGACATACTAATTACTGGATCCTCATTTTAAAACCCTGATGCATAATAACAGTAAAAATGTGAGGCCTTCTTATTCAATGTCATATTTTGACAATTCTAGGGAGGGGAAGGTGGTGGTGAGAAGGAGAATGCCTCTCCTCCATTCAAGAGGTTAAGGAAGTCCCTTGCCCAAACTTGGAGTACTCCTGGTGACCTACAGCTTTTGCACAGCTTCACACCTGAGACCCCAGTTTGTGACAAAAAAATCTCCTTATAAAGGAATGTTGAGACATTTAAAGAGCAAATTAGTAAGTGAATGTTCTCTCCTTGTAGAGTAAGAGCCTGTTGGGAGACAGATCAGTGATGTTTTCACCTCCTTCCATCATGTCTGAGGCTCTGACAGATGAAGGACATTCCCCACAAGTCCAGGGGTTGTATACACCACCTTCTCCTAAACCTTCCAAGGTATAAATCCAGTCATACTTCTCTTTTCTTGCAAGATGTCTTCAATTGTAGAAAAATAGGTAATTGAAGATGTGGGTGTTGAAACTGCAGTTAGATATACGGTGGGAAATGGTGGCATGTGGGAGGACTCCTAATCAGTTGGACTTGACTGAGCAAGCCAGGAAATGGGTCGGGAATGGAGGAACCCCAAGTGGCATTACAAGAGGAAAGCAGTTGAATCTCTAGACCAAAGAGAAGGCCAGCCAGTGAACAATATGGGTTCCAATCCCACATAGTATGTACAAAGACATGAACATTGTGGTGTAGTTGTTAAATAATGGATGGATGCTTATTGAAACTATCAACTAGAGTAGCAACCTGGAGATGTTCCCCATCTCATTTCACAACTGTGACTGGTTGCCAGTATTCCATTTTAATTGTTTTTTTTGTTATGGCAGAGTTAGGTGGCTCTTTATGGCAGTGCTAATTACCTCTTAGAGTTATTGTGTTCAAACAGAAGCAGAGAAGAGAGTGATGATCCACGAGTTAAAATTTTACACAAAATAAGAATCAGCTTTTTCCCTTAGTGCAGCTTATTATTTTCAGGCTTGGGAATGTGTTTGAAATTGTCATTCTCAAGTCCAACTGTGGTGGACTTGAGATTTCTTTCTTTTATTTTATGCATGGTTCTTATTGTCTGTGACACTGTGTAAGTAAGTGACTGACTTCAGTCCATGGCAGCTGAGTCATCTTTGAAGCCACTTGTGAAGGAAAGCTAAGAGTGGGTATGATTTGAAAGAAGAAAAAACTTTTCGAACTGGAATGAGGCACCCTGTAGGTGATGCTACAGGTACACTATATGGAAAAGTGGGATGAAGAAAAGAAAGCTATTTTCCTTGTACAAATTGTGTCTGCTGCTTACGAATATGGCATTGAGTTTCTGTGATGCTTGAAAATGTATCCTGATGTTTTGCAGATTTTGAATTTGCTTTTGCAGTTAAAAGATTCTTCCTTTTTTTTCTTCTTGGTTTTCCCACTAGTCACAATCTTGTCTGTCTCTCCATTCATGATGATTCTAGCACATCTTCATGCACTGCATTCAAATTTCCAATAAATGTTTTCCATTCCTTTTCCAAAAGTCTGGATGTCTATCTTCATGTGGTGGTTATGTGGTAAAAATGAGAAGCAGGGTGAATTGATTGAGTTGCAATATAATGAAGTGTACACATTAATTTATCTCACTGGGACAAGAACTACTGCTTGCTTTGACTTGCCTTATGCAGGTGGAGGAATTACATGAACCAGAATTAGTATTTCAAGCTCATTTAAGCATCATTCAAGTATACTGCATTAGTGAGTTGTCTCTGGAGGCCTTTTACTTACTATTATGCCTTTTTTTCACTTTCTAATTCTTCCTCAGCAGCATTTATATCTTCCTACACAAAAAGTGTTATAAAGTACAACAGGTAAAAATGAAGGAGAGACTATGCTTGAATAATGCTTTTTTTTAATTGGAGATAACTGTAAATGTATTTTCATTTGGTTCAAGGAGACTCAAGGATAGTTGTAACAATTTACGCATTCGCTCACTTTAAGTCAGCACGACTCCAATGGCATTTATATTACTGAGAAAGGTAGTCCTAGCCTTGTAATAGTGGAACAAAAACTACTCATCAGATTTTCTGTGTAAATGAGGTTTCTGCTGATAACTATAGTACGCCTACGATATAACGCCACTTCCCTGGGTTAATAATATTGTAATAAGCATCTCAGAGTGATGTACAGTTCAATATAGGTTTTATTCAGTGGCGTATTTTACGGGAGGGGAAAAGCTGTTCCCCCCCCCGACTCAGCCAAAATACGCCAATGGTTTTATGGAAAGTATTGTGGCATTACTCATTACTGTTAATTGTTGAAGGAAAAGACCATGTCATGGAAAGCTCTACGGGGGTTTTCACTTGGAGGCTTGTGCATGGGACGTTCCTCATGCATGACTCTGGAATTCAAGTGAATAAATGTATTGACTGAAGTGAAAAGCACAATATCAATCCTTCCGAGGAAGTAGTCTATGCTGCTTAGTGTCGTAATAGAGACCAGCACAATTATAAATGATACGGACCTTTTTTTGATATAAAGAAAACCTATACTGCTGCCTATAAAAGGAAATCGGCAAGAAAACCTAGACCAGAGGCTTGTGTTCTACAGAATGGAGGGCACATTGAGCACTTTTTCAGTTAAAATTAACATACCTAAACCAAATTGTGTGCTTTCGTTTTTGGCCCTTGCGCATTTTGTTTTTGTTTTTTTGTTTGCTTGTTTGTTTTCGTCAGTTGTGGGAAATTTTAAGTGGAAAGAAAAAATGAACACTTACTTTTTTTGTGATGAAAAGTAAATGCCAATCTCACAGTTTTCAGAATTTTTATTTGAAACTCGGCCCACAGACCGTAATTGAGTTACCCCATTGCCCACCAATTTTCATCAGAATCGGCAGCTTACATTCAGTGTGACAGCTCACCAAAAATGATAGCTTGGTTTTTTTTGGCCCACCCTGTACGAGTACTGGATTTTTTTTATTATCGAAAATTCCATCGAAACGTTATACCACCCTCCCTACTCCCCAGACCTGGCCCCATGCAACTTTTGGCTATTTTGGAACTTAAAAAATCACTTGCGGGGGACTTCTTTCCCTTCGAGATCGGCACTCGATTCAGCAGTTTTCCAGTGGTTTCGAAATACTCCAAAAACAGTTCGCCCAGTGCTTTCAAAAGTGGGTAGAGCAGTGACAGGCATGTTTGGACAAAGGGGAGATTATGTTGAAAAGTAGGATAAATTTGAAGTGTATATTTGGGTTAATAATTTTTTTTTTACAAAACATGCATTACTTTATGACTGCACCTCGTATATACTGAGGTGAACCGTTCAACTGATATGCCGATACGTGTGGCGATGTGGCCACCGTGAAACTTCCGGTATAGCTTAAAATTATGCAGGTGAAAACATGCAAGAACTTAGCATTTTCTGTCGCATCGCAACTCTTTTTTCGGTGCAGCTTAGCCAAAACAGGCGGACACTGCTTCTCGCTGAAAGGCCAGGGAAGGAGTAATTCTGTGCATGTCGTATCATTGCTCTTCTTGCTTCCTGCTGGCTGAATGAGAGGGTATTAAAGGTGACCCACCCATCTTACCATTTTTCCCGGCCTTCCCCTACTCCCTCTAAGTATTGAAAATTCTCCATTGAATTCCCTCATGCTCAATTCTCAACCTGGAATTCGAAGCAATAGAAAACTCTTCAGAATGAAACTGCACACTCCCTTCAACTTCTGACACAATATTTAATGTTTTCCATGCACCGAGAACAGGAGAGCGTTTTACATATCTCACTTTGATTCCAAAAAAACCTCAGTAGAAACTAAGCATGACAGTTACAGCAGACTCAGTTATAATTCTTTCGCTCGGTTGCTTCCAATGCTCCAGTAGGGTAGATGAGACAAATTCCGACCGTACGCCTCCGCGTTGCATAATTTAATGTGATAATAAATAAAAACAGCCTTTTTCAACCTAATTTCACCGATGTCCAATCTCAAAACGTGTGTGCTTTTTCCCCTCGAACGGCTCGATCCAAAAAAAAGGCAATATAAAAACGTAGGTGAGAAGTTTATTTTTCTGCATTTTAAGGGGGTGTACATCATAGGTATGCATATAGATTGTAGAAGTTAGAATATGTACAACTCTACCAATAAATAAGTAAACTTCAACACAACAGGAACAGAAATCCCGTATGCCTGCATGGAATAATTTTTCCTTTGTGGGCAGAGGCGAATATACATCCATTTCATCCTCTTCTCGCTTCAATAATAAGTATAAGAAAACGCTCTGGACATTTCTTTCATTATTCCAAGAAGGTATTTCTTTCATTCCTTCCTACTAAAACAAAAAAAGCTGAAACCTCCCTAATGTCTTTCAATAAGTATTCATTCGCCGCAAACTTGACAGCTAGAACTTCTGGCAAACCTAATGTAGGAAGAGTTTCATACGTCTCATCGGGAAGAAGTAACAGAAATTCATTTTCGAACTGGGTAAGTGAGAATATCTAGCCGCTTGGGGAAGCCGAATTGGAATTGAAACCATCCCTCTTGAGACCATTTCTTGGAACGTCGATCTTCACGAGATGACCCAGATGTCTTGCCTGAGGGAGGGGGGGGAAATATTACGTTTTTTCACCGTCACCCCCTTTATGCAAGGCCCTTGTGAACCCAATAGCCTTTTCCAATCCCATAGAAGTCTTACCTGTTCTCTTCGCCTGGCTTTTACTTTGTCAAGTCTGCGGAATATCAGCCATTAGAATAATCCTTTGTTGGAATCAAAGGAATGGAACTGTGGAGCGTAGCAGAAGAGTTATATACTGTAACAGCATTGTGAGGATAGGGAGGGGAAGGCTGGCAGGCAGGGGTTCGGTGTATGCGTAGTCGTGTAAGCTAAGCCGATCTCTCTTCAGCCTGACCTGCCCTCAGCGGTGAGCAATGACGTATTTTAGAGTTGGGAAGGGGATCGGCCGGGGCAGACCGTAGCGCCTTGGGGGAAAAAATTCCCTCTGTGGGATTTTTTTTTCGGCCGTGAGAATCTTTTTTGATCCCCCAACCCTGCGACCTTGGCAGTCCCCTCCCCAGCTACCCCTTCTGCTCTAGAGCCGAAATACGTCCCTGCCTTCCACTATCTGTTGGCGTGAGGATGAGCGGGCTAAGGGGGTAAGGAGAGGCACAGCGAAGCGAATGCACTGGAACAGAGACTTCGGATTCCTGGGCCTCTATGCCACGTAGTCAAGTCTGTGCAGCTTTGCCAGATGTACAGCGATGCCCTGTCCCTTCCACTCGTATGTAATATTCTACGCAGAGAATACCTTTTTTTCTCTCTCTCTCGTTCACCCAGCCGTCTTCTGGTATGAAGACCCCACAGTTAGCACAATAATCTCCATCCTCCCAGCCTATTCTTTCAAACCTACGTTTATTCTTTCCCGATCCGACAATGATTTACATGTTCGGGTTGGTACGACCAGTATATATCAGCACCGGTGTCACATAGTCCACTGCAAACTGGGTCCATAGTCCACTTGTTTACCAATCAGAATTCATATAGATTCCAGCTATGAATGCCGATTTCATTATTTGATTTATTGTCACTATGTACTTAACCTACAGCAAAATTCGAGAGCCACCTCTGTCGTGAGAGCAGAAGCAGGGCCGTACTAAGGGGGTGCGAACGGTGCGCCCGCACATGGCCTAGGTTGGTATCCTAATATAGAATGTATCGATGAATTTTATTCCAATAAGTATTATTCTGAAGTTAAATAAATTAAACATATAAATATTTGATTTATTTTAAAATAAATTAACACGTAATGTATTGTGTTGGTGATGGGGAAGGGAAGCTGGTGAGGTGTGGGGGGGGGGGGGCGCTGGATTGATATCTCGCACAGGGCGCCAAATATCCTCGTTAAGGCGCTGGTCAGAAGTGATCAAGAAGCAGCGATTGAAGTCCCTAGAACGCCTTTATCATCCTGACCTCACTTATTTCCTCGCTCGACGATCGCGTTGTGTTTCCATTTGTACATGGCGATCCATAGTAAACCGTTATTTTTCTGGAGGCGCCCAGTAGAACAAACTATGCAAATGATACATTTTTGGAAAGCCCTGGACGAGTTCTTTCGATCGAGCATGTTTTTCGCTGAAAAATCGCTCATCTGGACGAAGTTACTTACGTTTAACTGAGTTCCGTTCCCTTTCTGAAAAGCCTTTAAAACAAGTTTTCAAATACACGATTTAAATACTCGGTCAATTATGAATCCAGCTCACGCACGTCCGACCCTCGAGCTCTCGAAGCACCGAAACCGACTAGAACTAATTTTGTCAAAATCGAGCACTTTGATCACTTCTTCGAGTCGATGTTTTATGTTCTGTTTTGATAATATTTCATCGGCTTTTCGACTCCGACTTCAACAGTGATTTCTATTAGAACGAGTTTTCGTGAAACGTCGTCGGTCCTGCCATCGATCAAATGTAAGATTTGTTTTTTGTGCATTTGCATAAGTTTGAGGTACAAAACCCGCTGAAGCGTTTGACAAGATTGTCGGTCATAGCAAATTACTTGGATATGCTGGGTCGCCATTTAAGTTCTGGGTAAGAAAATAAAAATAAAAATAAAAACAAAAGAGGTAGAGTTTGTCATTTTTATGTCTGTCTACTTGAACTTCTTCTGAGTACATCCGTATTGGCAGCATAGTTTCCGATTATCCGTATCACTTCCATGAATCAGGACTTTACGGAGAGAGTGCGTAATACCAACCATAAAGCTTCGAGTAGAGACAGCAAGTTTCTGAGTAGTACACTTGAAAGGCTTTAAAGATTGATTTCATGCCCTGATGCAATAACTTGCAAAATGACGTCAATATGTTCAATGAGGTTTTGATCAAAGCCGGTGATGGCTACAAACGTTTTTGAATCTTCGAAAGCACGTCTGGCTGTATTCCCATCATTGCTTTTACCCTCCCCCGGTGGGTTTGTCTACAATCAGCCCCCTCTGGCTTCTGAACTTCGAATCTTAGCCTTACTTTAATTAGCCTTAGTCTTGTTTTCTTCGGTATTCATATGCCATGCTCCGAAGTCTAAGCGATTGGCAAAATGCGAGAGGCACTCGAAGATGCGAATCCAAAGGTGCAGGGATGATATGCCGTGAAGGAGTCAATCTGCGCGAAGTAAGAGAGAGAAGACACAATCTATGTCGTTCATTTTAGATGGTTTCGCTCTACATAAATTCATACTTCGGATGACCCGACACCAGACACTGTATTAGAGAGACCTTCCCATCTATCACTGAAAACTCTATCTGGTAATGTATTTCAAGTATTGCCAATAGGTGGTTGTCTTTCGTGAAAAGCCTCATCATACGTCCTCACCAAAAGAGTCAATGAAGCGATAAGCTTGTTCATTTATTTTCTCTCATTTTGAATAACTTGAGCAGCTCCCTTGACTTTTTGAATTCTGACGAGTGAAAGGTGTGGAAGAGCTAATCAGCATGTACCATCCAACCCAGAAGCTCGTCACACCCGTTACACTGTCACGACTCGTCTGAAACGGTTTGCCCTCGTCTGAATGCCTGTCTCCAACTCGCCCCAAAAGAGTTATTGTACAGGCACAACCAGGTGTGCAAATATGTCCACTGGGGTGTCTGCAAGCAATCTGGCATGGATGTCCCAGAAGAGTGGTATAAACACCATCTCTAGTCTGTTTCGATCGTTCTTCCACTTATGGTGCTCTAAGACATGCTAATAACAGACTGTAACAGGTCAGATCTCACGATCTTCAACAAAGCTTGGTGGGTCGTGGCAAAAAAAAGGGTGGAGTACCATTGCACCAGATCACCTAGCTATGCACACGAGATAGAAATGGAAAAATGATGTCGCACTTTTCAATGTCTCGACCGTCTCGACCTGCCTACCCTGCATAGAAAACGAAGAATAAGAACGAACGTGCCTTTGGCTGTATGAGTGAAAAAATTATTCACGAGCTGGAATTTTTTCACAAAAGTTTCTGTAGTTCCTTCCTAGTTTGAGCCATATCTAACACGAAAAATTGGAACACGAAATTCTGAAATTGACTCAAATCAGCGCAAATGATCGAGCTAAGTCCGGTTTGAACGTCAATGGTATGGAAATACTTGCACTTTGAACTCTCTCTTGAACTCTCTCGTGTCCCTGTTCTGGTGCTGATTGCAGGAGGACGAAGGGTCGAGTCTCTATCAGATCCCTTCCAATCCACTTCTTCACTTTTCCTTGCCTTCACATGCGATTCATCCGCCTCGGAGCCTTCTTCCCTTGCTCGAGGAAGAGTCCTCCGGCTCTATTTTTTCATGTCGCTTGTGCTGAAGGCTCATTTTCTTTTATTTTTATTTTCCTGGGCCTTTTCTTTTTAGTTATTGTGCTGCTTAAATGATAATTTGTCAAAATTATGTTCTAAGATATTCTCCACTTATGAACGCTACGTTACCAACATGACGTTAGTCACCGATTCGTGTTCTTTATCCGTCACAGGAAAAAACGCAGCAAGAAAGTCGTAAACGTCTACTTCTTCTTGAGACTCGAATGGGATGCCAGAGTACACGGGATGGGGGCGCGAGTGGGATTGAGTGAGGACTGAGATTTCGCTCTTCGTTGGTCTGTGTCCGGTTGCAAGACTTCCATTTCCAATGCAGAGCCTTTCCGACTCTGAAAAGCGCTTCACCGTGAATAGACGACGCTTGGCTGAGGAGGAAAAAGAAGTGTAAGGAGGAGGAAAAAGAAGTGTATCAATTTTCCGATTCCAGCGCTGATGCCAACATGAGCTGTGAAAGTGGGAAATCGTGAAGGAAAAGGCTATACGTCACCGCAAATCGCACAAGGCACAATGGTGCCTTGTTATCCTATTTTATGCCTTTGTGATGACGTTCACATAGTTTATGGTGCGATTTTTTTTTTGGATCAAAATCACCATACGGTATAGGAAAGATAATGTCACAAAGTGCGTTGTTTGAATGAATCTTCATTATCATCCTTATTAGGTCCATAAAATTTAGTGTGCACGGTATGCCTCGTATCAATTACAGCCTCAACAGAAGCACGTATTCATGCTGTTTCAGATAAAATGGTTCGGACGCACAACAACAGTTCACGGATCAGATTGTCAGTACTGGATTATGATGGTTTCAAGCGCCCCTTGCCAGAACGAGTGCCGCACCGCTAATTGAACATCCATCACAACGCGCCATGGAAACTCATTAACCACTTTGGAAATTCTTGGGGCTAAATGGGAAATCCTGCATTGCGTTCAATGTTAAATATATATTGCGCTAATATACTGTATAATTCATTCTTTCAAACGTGTCGTACATTTCCTGATTATGAATAAAAATGTATTTTTAAGCTAAAAATACAGGTATTTTTTGTATTTGTATTTTATCTCCAGCGCAAACGATTGCGCTGGAGATCATCAGGCTCCAATAGTTGTCTACCGCGGATTGACGGATTATTTTCGCCCCAGGAAGGATTTGATGGTATAGAGAAACCCCTTCGGAGAGTCGAGGAATTCCAGGTCGAGGGATTCCGTTTCGCTCGAAGAGACCATCTTGAGCCCCGAGGCCTCTAGCTTCACCAGTTCGTGCCTGAATGGATCGATATCTGCGCCCGTGGTCTTCAACGAGGCCATCCAGAAGGCTGCTGCCCTGGAGTTCTTCAAGGCGCCGACCCGAACATCCCAGTTTTCTCCTTTCTCCGTCTCCTCGTTTTGGATCAGCATGTCGATGTAGGTGCTCAGGGTGAGCGGGTTGGGTTTGAGGGCGATCTCGTCCAGGCGCGTCAGGTCCTGGTGGGCGCGGCGGAGGAGGTCGTAGACCTGCAACTGCTTCACCTTGAATTCCTGGGCCAGTTGGAGCAGCGAGGTCTTCTCGGTCTCCAGCTTTTTCTTGTGTCGCTTCGTAGCTTCGTATCGGCGTTTTAGGTCTTGCAGCTTGAGGAGTCCTGCAAATCGTGATATGTGTCATTCAGGATAGCAATACATCGCCATCTCGCTTGAACACAAACAAAAACTAGCTGAAGCGCATTTTTACTGGAAGTTTATACGATCAGCACATGAATGAATCTCTAGAGGAATTTGTGCAAAGAATACTAGCCCCCAATGAAATTCCAACACCTGTTTTAAAAACGGCAGAGGATGGGTCACCAGTGAAATGACTACACACGCAGACAAATAGCATTACCAAGAAGTGTAAGGTGCGCTTTTAGCTTAGTGCACCTTTACCATAACATGCCAGATCGGTTATAGATCTGCATTGCAACCAGAGACAGTCATACCACCTGCTGAAGTTGGTACAGAGGTAATAGGGCCCCTCACTCTGCGCGGTGGAGCCCTTTAATTTGTAAGCGTTAGCATGGGTGGTCCAGCCTCTGCCTCTGTGAAAAATTAGCAAGTGCTGAAATGACTCCTTCAAGGTGTTGTAATTTCAATGGTGATCTGTGTCGTTTTTTGCATTGTTATTGTTGTTAGTGAGAAAATGACAATCGAAGACCATTATTGATATGAAACGAGTTCATTTAATCCTGAAACCCCAGCAAAAAAAAAGACTGCCACAGGACCGAAGATTGCCACCCCACTTCTGAAGGTCAGGTGAGTTCCATACAATAGACGTTCCCTGGCATGCATCTCGTATACCAAATGAACGTGTTAGTTCGAAAAACTGCAGGTTCGTTTGAACAAGATATCTTGTGAGCTAATCCAGATGGAGAAAATCGACAGGGTATCAATGAAATTAGGTGCTGAGTGAAAAGACGTGAGAAAAGCTCTTACATGGCTGCATGCATGGCCAAAACTCAAGAATTTTTGAGACTCAGAAGGCTCTATTCACGAAAAAGCTCTTTCACAGTACTGGAGCTGTTGGGGTTAAGGAAGCATATGTAGGGATGAACTCATGATGAGTATTGAAATAAGAACTTAAAATAGTGATAATGACTAATTAGCGAGCAAAAAATCCAAGCACGAACAGCAGAATAGAAACATGCAATTCTTCTTGATTCGGCTATCATCAGTAACAATGATTCTATCGTCATTACTGGTATTGTGTTGTTACTAATCATGATACATTTTGAATCAAATGGATTAGAAGTTTTTACAATAGGGGATAGTGAACGAGCCCGGTGCTTACCGAGTTTTATTTCCTCTTGGACTTTCACAAGAGCCTTCTCGAGAGTTTCCCTCTTCTCGAGAACCTCTCGGGTGAGTTCCAGGCCGATGGGCTCTGCGGTCTGCATGTCCTCGAGGAGTCGCTGGAAGCCGTCCGCGGTCATCTTCCACAACAATTCCTGCATGGCGGATTGCTTCCGGCTCTTCTTGTACAAGCACCCGGCGTTGAACTGATACGAACCTCGACAAGAGATTCCTGCCTGCTTCACGGCCGCCAGAGTTTTAGGTTCTTCTTGGTCTGCGAACGTCGACAGAAGGACGAAGCGGTCTTTGACGTCGTTGCCGAACAGGGAAAGGATTTGATCGTAGAGGAATCTCTGAGAAGCGGTGAGCCGGGTCGTGGTGGCCGGGATCACGATCCCGATCCGGTGGAGGCGGTCCACGTATCGGGTGAAGAACTGGCGAATGTTCTTGATTAAGGTTTTGTCTTCGTCCAGTCCCCGGGTGTCCAAGAACCCCGGTGTGTCCACTATGGTTATGCTGGACGACGATAGGGTGCCGCCTTCGTTCCTGGCCGGAGGGTGGATGGTGTAGGCCGTGATGGAATCCGTTTGACTCATCGTGGAATCCTCTTTACGTTCTTCGGTGTCCATGAGAAGGAATCTGACGTCCTCTTCCCATTTTACACCCAGTACGTGATTCACTAATGCGTTCATAAACGTCGTCTTCCCTAAAAGGTGAAGATGAAGAAAGTTTGACCAGCAATTCGCCTTCGGTCAACGGGGCTCGAAATGGTGACCCATACGTGAGTCTTGATACAGGATGACTCAGAACACGTAAACTAATGCGAAATGAATGCGTTATGCAACTTACTTGCATAACGCTACGTACATGCAATATACTGTACAGATTGCTGCCATGTCATTGCCACCGTAAAATGCATAAAACGCAAAGATATTCGTGATTTCATTCTTCACATCGGGCTCTTTCGGTTATACGTACGCATATACGAGATATACACTCTGTCCCAAAAAAATTTGGAACCTTTTACAATTTGTAGCGACATCTAGTTGGCTCATACTATTGCAGTGCGCTTTTGAGGTATGACTAATACATCAAATGAGCATGTGTTTGCAAAGTTATAACAACATCCTTCCACTGGTAATAGAAATACAGGAGGCAATTTAAAGTCTGATAGCAGTGAAGGAGTGCGGCCAGAACTGTATGGACACCTGCGTCAAAATTCGGTATTGTATTACGTACAAGATTGCTGAAATGATGCGTACGACCGAGAAGAAAAGTGCATTTTTATTTTCTTATCCACACGCGGAAGAATTGTTCAAAGTGCCATCCGTCATTTTGTGAGCATGCTCGTAATCTTGGGTAAAACTCAGACACTGCATCGTTCACACTCTCCCGTGACAGTTGCCTCCACGCCCCTCGAATGCGTGCCTCGAGACGGTCCAGGTCGCCTGTAGACTTTCTGTATCGTGATTCCCCGTATCCTGTAGTCGACTGGATTTAGGTCAGGAGAGTTTGGAGGCCATTCATTTGATATGATGAAGTCGGGAACATTCTGTTCCGAGAAAGCAATGGTATGGCGCGACCGGTGACTCGGCGCCCCGTCTTGCCGAAAGAGGTATGGTCTGCTCGAAACTCTTTAACGTCAGGAAGTAGGCCACCAGCGAGGTTATTGCAGTAATAATCACTGTTGATCTTCACTCCTGGCATAACGAAGTGGAGGTTAGTTTTCCCAGTCATGGACACACCGACAGACACCATCACGGACTGAGAAAGTGCAATCGTGGGACTACGAGACGGTGTGGAGAAATGTCTCTCTTCTTATGAGTTGCGGAGCCGTAAACTTATCGATGCTGGCGATTCTAAGGCGCACGGACCGTGAACAGTTCTTCATCTGTGAACCATGTGTTGAGAAGAATCGCAGGTGAAATACGGCGCAAAAGACACTTAGAAAGCTCACTTCCTTTTCTCCTTCTCCTTTTCAGTTAATCGCTGCGCCTTCAGTCGGGTGAACTCTTGGCGGTTAGGGACCTCCTTGATCACGCGGTGAATGAGGATTTCGCAACCCCAATGCGTTGGGAAATTTCCCGCACTGATAGATGCGAGCCGGGAGTCTGATCTTCCCAGGTGGCAGAGAGTTCATTCACCTGATCTGATGACACTTCGGAGTCTTCTACTACCTCGACGCCGGGCAGTCCCACCAGTTTCGTTCAGCTTTTTAAGAACATGGCACAAAGTGGACAACTTGAAATTTGGCCTTGGAAATTCACGATTCGCTTCGCACCGTAGCCATGCTCCTACAAAGATTTAATCGACGCTTTATCTTCCTCAGTGAGCATCTCTTTTTACCGATACCAGATCGCAGATCGATGATGCGTGCACTCAGTAGCACATCAGAAAGATTCTCGACTTAAAACGCAGAGAGCGACTGTTGGCGCGCGAGTCCAATTTCCAGGGAGGGGTGTGAGTTTCCTCTCCGGCTGGCTATGCTCGCGCCAAGTGTGGTCGGCTGCACTGGTCCGTCGCAACCTCACTTAAAATAAGCTACTTCATTTCCAAAACGACTTAATGGATTATGATATAACTTTGCATGAATGTACTCATTTGATGTATTAGTCAATCCTCAAATGCGCAAAGCAAGAGTATGCACCAAATACGAGAAGCGAGGAATTTCACACGTAACACTTGCCACAGCTTTGATTTTGTTCTCAACACAGAACCTACCTGCTCCTGTGGCTCCGATGATGAAGAGAACCTTTCCTGGAAAGTATCGTCCTGGAATGGGCGAATGTCCGATCTTTGCGATTCGAAGTTTCCCTCGGTCCAAGTCCTTTATAATATCGGTCGGGATGCCGTGGATTCGGATCCCGTGTTTCTTCTTCATGACCTCCCATTTCTCCTTAAAGGCCAAGGCCTCGCTACCTCCTCTCTCCTCGACATCCCTGAATTTTCAGAAGCGTGCCGGTTCAGCGAAGCAAAAACATTCTTGGAACATGCACGATCGTGCAAATACAGTCATTCATAAGTAAATCCTATATTTGTTTTTTGTTCGATCCAGAGGGAGCAATCCAAAACGGACAATGCAAATGCGATAGAGACCAATCGTTCCAGAGAAGATGAGATAGAATCTTGCACATTTCGGCTTGCCGGTCTCGATCGTCAAGGTTCCAGATGAAGGACACCTTGGATATGAGGTTCCAGATGAAGGACACCTGGGTTCTTACATGGATAGATCTGAATGTCCTCTCGCAGCATTATCTGTATCGATCGGCGTAGCTGATTTCTAACTCCAAAACTGCCCGTCTCATGCATCTTACCTGGTTTTGAACGAGTACCGCTTCACGCAAGCTCCTTCTCCGTGCGGGCTGTCATCGGGCGGCCACGCTTGGATTCGTTCGCGACCGAATCGGTTTCCTTGAACTCCTCATAGATGCGGTAGGCAGTTTTAGCTGTTGAAACATCTTGGCAGCTGAAAAATCTGTGGAATTCAAGCTGCGAAGACTGGCGAGACTTTCACTGCGAAGTAGTGAAAGTCTCGCCAGAAGAAGATTTTGCAGCGCTGTGGCAGACTCTGCCTGTCGGCCATTTAAAGGAAGGACCGGGTCAAAAAAATCTCAGAAAATATGATACTATCCTACCGCAAAACGCACCTAAAATTTCTTCGCTATGCTCAAAATCTGGAGAAAGGGAGGGAATAAAGGCGAACTTTTGAGTAGCCCAGATACGAGAATCAGGAGCAGAATTTCTAAACGAAACAAAAGTGAAGTCTCGCCGGAGTTCTGTTGTGGTGAAGAAGGAGGGTGAAGTTAATTTGCTTTCCCTGCCTATGCTATTGCGCCCCCTGAGACTGCACATCGATGGAAAACTTTCGCGAGGAACTCACCGTCGAATCGCGTGATTGGAGGGAGGCGGCGCTTGTGACCTGGTCTTGGGAAGGGGTTTCTCCACCTGAACCTGCACGACGGGATCGGGAACGTTCTCCAAGGGCCCCCATCTTGTCAAGGGCTGAAATGCCCCATGGGGATGAAAGAGGTGGATCGTTTGGCAATGGAGACCGAATTCGAACCGGGCCGCCTGACGCAGGGATTCTAAGTCCCCGACAGACACCAGAGCCTCTTCCTCACGGAATTTCAGCCTCACGCGTTTCTCCATGTTGAGCTCGTAGTCGAACAGGCTAGAACCACGCACAACGTATCTTTCTTTATCTTTTAGGGCCTTATCTTGCCTAGAATAAGAGGAAAAACGAGTTTCCATCGATCGACATCAAGTACTTAAGAACACTGTTCTTCGATAGTTCAATTCTTACGTTGTTGTCCTTAAGAGCAGAGTCGAATGTACTTTCCGCTTTAGTAGGGTACAATCACTGCAAAGCTGTGGTATGTTGCCAATAAAATGTCACCCCTCAGATCTCGTTTCTCCGCCGACTAGTTGTCAGCTCGGACTCCGAATCCCTAATCTTCACCCAGGATGATCCTAAATTGAATTCGAATCGAGTCCAAGCAATTTGGAATCTTGTCCAAGTTTAATCTCAATGCTCTCGATTTAGAAACGAAACAGTCATAGATGAGATCGACTGAATCGTGCGACACTTGAGGTATGCCAGGTCCCCCTCGCGCAAACGCAAAAAGGAGCGGGGAAAGAATTCTGAAGAATTAGGACCTTAATGGAGTTGACACGGATCAGGGAAGGGTGGAGTCGAGTCCGAATCAGAGGCTCCTCATCGAGCAGCTTTAACCAAAGCAAAATTTGGGGATTGACTCGACTGTAAAGTAATTGGATCGTAATTTGCGATTCGCAGGCCACTGCTGCACAGAGTGGCAATCCTCTTTTACACATTTCAACCGTGATTGGGATAGTGATTATGGTCGAGAGAGGAGAGGGTAGAGCTGGCTTCAAGGAAGGTAGCAACAAGCACAAGTTTCTCATCACGATCGAGATTCCTCCAAAAAGGCTTTCATGGTCTAAATCTAACCCTAGTCCAACATGGTCTAACCCTTGCGGAAATGCCAAATAATTCAAAACTTCCCATAGAACTTGTGTCTACTTCTCCTCCCCCAAGTAAAATGGAGGAAAAAATCGACATTTTGGAACTTCATTCCGGGATGGAAACTCTTCAGCAGGGAGCAGATAGCCAATTGGAGAGAGATTGCGATAAGACATAAAATGTATTCAGTACAAATAATGTCGAATGGAGTTGTTCTTTAAGGAAAATGGCAATTCGCTCACTCGAACGACTATATTCTTCCGAATATGGCCCAAGTCTGGAACCTTTGTGCATGTGGTGCACAAAGGCCGAAAGGTAAGGGGCATTCATCAGATGAGTCATTGGCGATGGTGAATGAAAGCAATGCCGCCTCGCTGGTGGATTTTTTTTTAATTCATTACCCTAATCTTTATTTACATTTCCTTTATTTCCCCTCCCCTCTTTCTCTTTCCTCCTCCGTTTGCTGTAGGGTCGTAAAACCTGGCCTCTTTTATCTCACTTGACAGGCCCTATTCTTTCGTGGAGGTCCCGGTCGCTGTACACTTCCACCATTCCAAAGGCAAAGCAGGTAAAACTAGATGGGCGGAGCGTAGGATAGAGGTTAGGCCTACATGGACGGAGAGGAACGCTCATCTCCTTTCCAGTTTTTAGAAATCCCTGGAGCTCAATTTTTAGCTACTCGACAGGTTTCTGGCCTGTGAGCTGATTCACGAGTGTGCGTGCACTTCAATCATTCAGGTTGGTAATATGGACTTTAAAGCAAACTATAAAGCATATGGAACTGTATCCCTTATTCATATGCTAATTGGCCGATGCAACGATTCCGCCAACCCTCGAAATGGTGGAAAAGGCTGGCAATCCGGAAGTTGAAGCTGGGACATGCATCGTTATCAGAATGCATCATGTTGCTCCGATTGCGTTAACGGAGCATGATCTTGGCATGAATGGAAAAAGTCTCAATTTGTCTCTGGAGTTCTTGACTCGTTCGCACAGCACATGAGTATGCACGTGGAAGCATTGGCATCGACTCTCCAAATCGAAAGAGCAATTTGAAAGTAGCGGTGATAATTTGCCAAAAAATTGCAATTCGTTTCCAAGAAAAGTAACAGTTAAAAATACTCGTTATGGGGAAAAACAACAAGTTCAGGAAATGTTTCCTGTAATTCATAACTTCCCATCACACTGTTATATTCTCTAAGGATTCTGCTATGAGCCTCTTTGTTGAAGCGCCTAACGAAGACTGAGCGACAGCGTTGCTCGGAGTCAGACAATTATGCTATTGGGTAAAATATCATCTAGTTGGGTACGACGGAGAATGAATGGGATCGTTTGTCCCCTCGATAAGAGTCAAGTGTTTTCGAGAGGAGCGGTGTCGTATGATATTTTTCCCCCCGTAATATTTTTCCCCACCTCCCTTAATGGAAATGAAGGGAATTCGTTTTAAAAAGTAGAATTGTAAGTTTGTCGATTGCCGAAAGAGAATATAATCTTTACCGTCAAAAACTGACCAAACGATATCATAGTAGAACATCCTCCTGCAGAGGACGATGTTTCTTCCTCCCTGCCTTCATGTCAGCTGCCCTTCCTTTGCCTTTTACCTCCGTTGCCTGGAATCTTTGATGTGGCTTTCAAGATCACCCCGAGGAGTCGATATTTTTCCCCCCGTAATATTTTTCCCCACCTCCCTTAATGGAAATGAAGGGAGTCCGTTTTAAAAAGTAGAATTGTAAGTTTGTCGATTGCCGAAAGAGCTACTGTCAGAAAATGACCCAACGATATCATAGCAGAACATCCTCCTGCAGAGAACGATGTTTCTTCCTCCCTGCCTTCATGTCAGCTGCCCTTCCTTTGCCTTTTACCTCCGTTGCCTGGAATCTTTGATGTGGCTTTCAAGATCACCCCGAGGAGTCGACACTGGCTTAGACGTTAGCGAAGCAGATGGAGGCGCAAAAGGAACACTAAAAGGCACGGAAAAAATAGCCGCCGAGGAACGAGGCGAAGTTCCTTCATTTCCATTAAGGGAGGTGGGGAAAAATATTCCTTCCTTTGCCTTTTACCTCCGTTGCCTGGAATCTTTGATGTGGCTTTCAAGATCACCCCGAGGAGTCGACACTGGCTTGGACGTTAGCGAAGCAGATGGAGGCGCAAAAGGAACACTAAAAGGCACGGAAGAAATAGCCGCCGAGGAATGAAGCGAAGTTCCTTAATTTCCATTAATAGAGGTGGGGAAACATATTACGGGGGGAAAATATCATACGACACCGGTACAGAATTCCTTGGGACTGGAGTAGTCCCTTGTGAATACAAATCTACTGTATATCACGCTTTTTCTTGTCAGAGATGTCATCGACAGAAATATCGGAGGTATCATGTCCGCTTTCGCATGGCTGTGACTGCCCCATCTTCAGTGAATTCAACTTACGAATCCCTGGCTCTTAGCGTTTTTTTTGTGGAAAATCTGAAAAAGCCGAATACGATTTTTCCGAGTGAGAGCCAACGATTCAGAAGGCCGTAGTGTCCCAGGTCCTGTCACGATACAGGGGTTTCTGTTGAGGTTGATCAAGACGAACCAAAACCTGCCCGACGCGTTCGGCTCGGGAGTCTCATACTGGATCGGTCGTCGCTCTAGATAATCGCAATAGTCGCTGTGCTTCCGGGGTGACTATCGATAAGTTGGCTACAGGGGTCGGATAATCCGATGTTTGCGTTCTCTCTTCTTTCCTGCTTCTCGTGGGAACGAACAGGTGCAGCCTGGACCTCGAGGGGGTCGAGATCGGTAGCGTCTAGGTAAAGACAATTGCCTATGAAGCCGTCCTTTAGGCCCAATCTCCAAAGGAGTTCCCAGAACAAACCGGATCGGGTCGACTCTGGATATATCCTGCAACCGAAATGAAACTCAGACCCCCCCAAGACACTGGGCGTGGTTCTGTTGATAAATAATGTGTAGTTTGCCTTACACACGAGGGCCCCCCCCCCCTCCCCATTTGAACAGGTAGAGAAGTTTGTACTACGGGGTCTAGTTATCGAATAATGAGCTCTATGAAAATGTTACCAATAACATACCCAGGGTTTCTGCTGTTTTGCGGGAGCTCTGACGAACAGTGGAAATCGGAAATTTCCATGAGATTTCCAAGAACTTCTTTTAATTGCCCGACCCTCACCACCCCTCATGACCATGAACGTTGCGTATTGATCGAAAGAATCAAATCGCGAATGGAAGCTGCCGAAAAGAGGTTCTCACGTCAAGAGACTGGAGTCACACGCCTTGATGAGATGGTGATTGCCTCAGAGTAGAGCTGGCACTTAATCGAGAGATCCAAAATCCGGTGGTTCCCACACGTCTACTGCATGTTCCCTGAGCAACTCCTCGAAGAGTCTTTCGAGGTTGACCGGCCGAGGACCAGTCGGTAGGCGTCATGCATGGTGGGAGGACTATGTCGTGAATCCTCGAAACGAGAGGCTCGGTATCCCACATGCTAAGCTCCATTACGTTACCCAGGAGAGGGAACATTGGAGGACACCACTGGACCTGCTTCGACCATCGAGTTGAAAGAAGCGGTATTGGAAAATTAGGCCTTCGTACGTCTGTGGAAGATTTCCAAAATTCTGTTGATCTTTTTCAAAACTTCGCAGACCGATGAGGGAAGGAAGAAGAGCAATTAGACTGCCTCTGGTAATATTCAATAGATGAGTGACTTTCCACTTTCGATCTCTAGACTTGGTGCTGCCAGACGACCGTCCCAAGCGGTTTCGAGGATTCATCAGGAGTTACCAGAACTTTACATTTGCAAATAGGATAAAACAACCAGTGATGGGTCTGTTTAGGGCGGGTACTCAGTGATTGGTCACGTTTCAGGAAAATTCCAAAAACTGGACATTTGTTCCATGAGCACGTGTGTATGTGGTTGAATGCTGCTAGCCTATGTTACAACAGGGGTAAATGTGCTATGGAGACTTGGCTGTTGGAATTTTTATGTGCTGTGGCCCATCACTGGGTCTTTTACCCTATGTCATATGCAGTATGCCTCCATCGTGCATCGGACATTATCACATGTTGAGCACATGTAGCGTCGGTGGAAAATCTCGCGTAGTCTTGACAGTTTTGGATGTCCAAATTGGTATATCAGCGGCAAATTTGAGACAAAAATCTTGAGTTGAGGTGAAAAGGGTTGAGTAAAAAAATGAGAGGAAAAACTTATCATTGGGCTTTTGAGACGTTCTACAACCCTTCATTAGTTTCGCTAAAGACACTCAGATCTGATAGACAGGAGTCTCTCACTTCTTTGTGAATCTAATCTTGTGGGATTGGATCCCTGGCCCCAGTTAAGAAAAAAGAACAAAGAAAAGCTGAGTGACAGGATTCACATAATTGCCATTCCAGTTTCTCGCATTTATAAACCTCCCTTTGCATGTTTGTGCCTCCTCCAGAACTTGTAAGAGATTATCTTGTGCATACCGTATCGCATGGTCACAGAGGGCATGTTTTGTCCATTTTCACGTCACTCATGAAGTTTTTCTTGTCTGCTCTTGCCGAATAAACTCACATGACGAATTTACGATTTACAAAAAGTTTTTTTTTTCACTCGAAAGCGAGCTTTCTTGAACTTTTTATTGGAACTCAGGAACTGTTCCTGAACCTCAGGAACTGTTCCCAAGGACCTGAACATGCTCAGTTTGTAGTCCGTAGACTGAGGCTAGGAGTTAATAGCTCTGAAGTGCACAATGATCGAAGCAGTCAAAGAACAAAATGCAAACTCCATTGAAATTTAAAATTCAAAATCTGATTATGAATGGAATAGAAACAGAGTGGGACCCGCGAGTCCTGAGCTTCTAGAATTCCTTAAATGGATCTGCGAGACCTTCGGGACTCTCGAGTGCCAGTTTGAGAAATTCTGCTCTACGGGGATTCCAAATCGCCTGGTTTTGCTGCCACAGCTTCTAGAATTTTGTGCATCCCTAGGTGAAAACTTAGTATCCGTGGTAAGTGGTAAGTGGGGTAAGTTCTTTCAGTCAGAAGCATTGTCAAAATAATTTAGTCAATCGATCGCTGAAAGTTGTCATATTGAAGACAATTAACAATGATAAAGAGAATTATGTTATTTTGGGAGGCGCACGGCTCCCCCCCTCCATGATACTTTCTTCCACTTGAAGATGAATCCTGTACCCCGATATCGTAGCCTGTTTCTGCCTTCAAGGCGATCGTCAAAGAAAATGTAACTCCATCTGGCACCTCGACGGCTTGCTTGTCCAGCGCATTGCGACAGGACGATCGTTAGTAGAGAGTTAACTGAATAAGAACGAGAATGAATGTGGGTGAAGCTCGACATCCATTCTCGCATGCGAGGCTGCGTCCCGTCATTTCATTTCGGTCCTCTTTTCAGCCCCTCGGACGTGATACCGAAGCTACCTAAATTACCCCAGCGGGAGACCTCTGAAAGATCTCATTAGGCTCGCACTGGCACATTCAATAACTTCTTCCTTTGTCGAGCTTCAGCATAGCACAGTTCTCCTTTTTCAGTATGGGCTGGCAGCAGCAGGCGGCGCTCTCACCCTTCAACAAGCCGTACGCATACGGAAAGAGGATTGTCAACGGCGGGATGAGCCGAGCCGTGGGAAGGGAGTCAGGGATATTTTTATTGGGATATTCTCCCTAATGTTCATTGACATTCAAGCGATATTCAGGCGATTTCAATGAACCCGCGAATTTTTCGAAATTAAATGGAAGGGATGCAGAAAATCCCCCCTTCGGAATCATATATGTAAATTATTTCATTTATAATTCATCCTTTTCCGGATGAACGAGTGGTCGTTCTCACCTTCACAAGAGGAAAGAGCTGTGTTTTCTTTGGGTGCTCTTCTGAGATCATTCCTTGTCCGTTCCCATGTTACTAACGTTTAGATGAAACAGGTGCAGCGACCACGTTTTACATCACGAATCTTAAAAATCTGTTCCTCAAAACAGCCTCGGTCTTCATCAGCATGAAAATGAAGCCTATCGCAACATACGCTCCGAATTCAATCTGGCCTCACCTCACCACTCCGAATCTACGTTCCCTCGACTGTATGAAACACGTTCTTGCAAGACTTGAAACTCAGAAAATAAATTTTATTTATTTTCTCTGCGGTATAAAAGAAAATTTGTGCCAAACTTTTACAGGTACTTATTACGGTAGGTACCATAAAGTGCGAAATAGAAGGTATTTTACGATATTCGGTATATCTCAACGGAATTGTAGAAAGAAGGGACGACAGAAAAGAGTGGAAGTAGGCAAGAACATTTGGAAAGGGGAAGATGGAATTCCGAAGCGTGAGATGATTTCTCGCTCCTTAACACCAACGACTTTCCGTTCGAAGCAAACGCGAATTCTTATCGCTCGGTAATTGGGTTTAGATTTAAAAAAGCCCTTTGAGTGCCGATCGGATTGCACACACATGGTGATAGAAATGTCTCTCGAGTTTTCAAATTCCAACACAGGTGAGTAAGAGGAAAAGCAGTTGATATCACGAGTCGGATCGATGGAGACCTGCTTCATGGGTTCCACACCTTCAAATCGGTCCACTAAATTTCCGGCAGAGGAAAAACGACAAGTAATCAACACTTTTGGAATCGCTGTCCGGATTGAGACTTTCCAACAAGCAATCACTCGAAGGGGAAACGTGTGGAAAGTGTCGCAAAGCCAGTTCCACGCCAGTACTTTTTTTTCTTTTCGAGCATATTCTTATATCTCTCTTCCAAATATTTCAAAGACCGAATAAAATTCTCAGTTTTCCCTCGCCAGAACACGTGTTCTTGGACTATCGAAGTCGGGTAAAAGCCGTCCTTTCAAATGATGGAAACTTTCACTTTAAAAATTTTTAAATCTCCATACGACTACCCCCGTCTTGACTCGTTGACCGCCCGGTGAACACCCTAGAAGCGGCGATGCAAGTGCAAGTGGGAACGAGAGGGGGAAAACCTTGAAAGCAGAGTCACACCCATCTGTATTTGGAAAGCCTCGCACTTTTCGACGATCGGCGCTTCTTTATCTCTGATAAGGCCACGTCCTGATACGAAAGACGGCAAACAATGTATTCAGTGTGTTTGTGAAAGACAATTGGCGTTCGGTGTGTTTCACGCAAACGAGTGAGTTTTTGAGCTTCAATTTCACGTTCATTTCATACTTCCCATCGGGTTCAGTCAAGTCAGGATCCTTTCGGCTTTTATGAGTGATCGCTTTCCTCGGCGTGAGTCACCGGAATTCTAAGGGACGGCATTTGAGTTCAGAATACGGACTCGCTGTTTTCATTTACCGTAGGTATTTGACTTCGTGAAAAGTACAATTTGAAAGCCCTTTTCGGCGGAAATTTGACGCTAAATACAAGCGGTCACTGCGGTAACGGCGACATGCTGACCTGCACGGCCGCAATTCGTGAGTGGCATTCAGGTCGACCCAAATCCAAGGATCGCTGCCATTGGATATTCGTCTCGTTTGTAAGCTCAAGTTACGTCGAGGTGTCTTTTAATCGAAAATTTCAATCGGACTCAACTACTGAATCAATAAGCGCTTAGGCGCCTATTACCTTTCTTCAACCCCTTCCGGTGACAAAATTCAACCGTCTCGTATTCCTCTCTGAGAGCATTCACAGAAACGAAATTTGGCATACTTCTTCCTCTCTCGACACAGAATCGCTCCAGCAAATTTGAAGCTCCATCTCCTCTGGTTTGTGAAGATCACCGAATCTCGCTTTTGGGACAAGTGAATTTCATTCCCAATTTGTTTTTCTCCTCCCCTGGGTAGGCACTCCTGGGAAGTTTTCGGAGGAAAGAGACCAACCAAACGAAAGATATTGACTTCTAGGCGACAAAAAGTATCCGTTCTGTTGCTTCCAGTGCACCATTTCGCCATTTAAAAAAATGAAATTAGATTTCGTTAATTTAGACTCAGCGTGATGGCTCCGATCCCGTCCTCCAGTGTTACCGGATATCGTGCCTAAGTTATGCCAGATTCATGACTTCTTCGGCCATAGTATCGGTGTCTGGATCTTCTTTTTTTTTAATGTAATGGTAATTTTGTGTCTAGTTCATTAGAGGAGCTGAGATTGAAATGATGGTTAGCAGTGGCCGATCAATTTGGTTGGATGTGGAGGTATATTTCATTCGGACATCCGTAAATTAACAGAATGGTGCCCACGTTGTATTCCATGCTTCCTAGAGGCCTTTTCTTCTCAGAACTCGCTGAGACGGCTCGAGGAACTCTAGAGAGGCCTAACGTTCCTCATCCGCTCTGAAATGGTTCATGAAACTCGAAACAGACTTCTAATCGGTCTAACGTTACATGTACTCTCTTAAAAAGAACCATGCGAGAGTGAATAGGCCTGCGATTGGTCTAACGTTACACGTCCTCGACGAGATCTCGAAGACCATGGATTAATCCTTATAGTCCTAATTGGCCCAGTAAGTCGAGGATTGAGTTTCTTTTGAATGAAAAAAGATATGCCTAGGCCTGACCCGACGACAGTCCGTCGGTTAGGCCTAAGCCCAACGTTACTGAGTTCCATAGAAAAAGCTGGGTGAGGAAGGAGGTGGGGTTGGGTTTGAAAAAGGGGAAAGCCTTTGAAAAATGGTTTTCACATTACTACTTTATGAGAATGGCGCAACTCGCGCGAGTTCAGGTGGTTCAACTCCCACGAGCACAGGATCTAAACAGGAGACTCAGACAAGGAATTTCTTCCAAACATGACAGATATAATTTTAAAATATTTTGACGGGAGGATATTTCTTTTCTCCTTTATCCAACGGCATAATTCTCGAATGATACGAGTATGAATACATATGGACATTTTTCGATATCGCCATGACAACCAGATGCTTCTCGTGGGTAAATGAGTGTCGAAGAGGATCTAGGGATATAGGGAAATTTTTCGGTGGATCATTTTAACTCCATTTGTTCACTGAAGCTAGTAGTTGCATGAAAATTGCACGATCGTGAAGTATATTTATTTTCCAAGGAATCATAATTTCCGATTCAGGTACTGTGTGTTCAGACATAACATACATGGACATTAACCCCTTGTCTACTCACCGTTTGAAGGAGCCGTACCTCTGATACACCGGAAAATAGCGATTATGCATGCATTTTAAAATTTGTTTCATTACACACTTGTACAAGCTTACCATACAAGTTTCGCAGACTGCCGGTCATTGTTAGATGCGGACCCCTGTGTGGAGTCCTACTTGTTCAAAGGAGTTGCAAATATGCAGACGTGATACTATTGAATTTTGGAGGGCAGGAAACTGCCATTTTCGTGACTCATGAAACGTGCGTCACATGTATCAGAGACACGGCTTGTCATGACGCATAGAGGTGCTTCACGGGTTAAAAGAGCTTGAAAATTACACTAATTTCATCTATACGTTAATTAGGCCAAAACTTATGGGCATTAAAATGATGACCACCGGACCAGAAATTGACCCTTTTGTTGGCTATATTCAAATCGCAATACTTCATGAAGCACTTGGCATTTGTTCAGATTAGTTCTCAATGGACCTCACAATTCCATAAAATTTGATCGATATCGTGAGAAGGTCAAGTGAATGGCTGTGTTGATTTCACTTGGGATGATGCAGACAGGGTTGATATGAACCTGCTTCAGTATAGCCCCAGGGTAGAGGTCGTCGGGAGCGACATCTGACTAAACATGAAAAGAGGAATGATGGAGCTGTTTCCACGCTGGTTGTCTCCAATCTAAAGCCTGTTCTGAGAACATAACATGTCCCCCCCCCCTGCGTACTGACAGAGTGCATCGCCTAATTATACATGCTATTTCGTTTGACAGAAATGGATAGGAGACTCCGAATCTACGTCCTCTTTTACAATGAACATAAGAAGACGATGCCCATAGGTCGAAGAGAGTATCTATGGGAGGATACGAGGGAGCTCTTCCAAATCCCACTCGACAAAGACATCAAATTGAAAGTTAGGAGAGATGGGGAATTCCATGAGGTCGAGAGTCCCGATGAGATTTCGAGCGGGGGTGCCACCATTCTTGTTGTTGCCACAGAAAGTTCTGAGAGATTGCCCATCGAGAGTCCGCCTCACAGAATCACCGAACCGCCTCCAGAGCAAATGAACTATCTCAGATCTACAGATTCCCCTACTCCGAAAGCTCTAGAGGAAGCTAGATTTGATGATGTGCAAGAATTGCACCAAACATTTCCCATACCTGGGAATCTTCTTCCAACTCACCGTGAAGAAAATGCACAGCATGATCAGCATGGTGGAACATCTAGGTGGGAACTGCAGTGAGTTTTCTCTATTATTTCTTGCTTAATCTTGGATTTGCAATAGCACAACAAAGCTGCCAACAACAGATCGGCAAAATAGGCCTCTTAACGGTTGTTTCTGCGTCTGAACTGTAGAAGCGTGACCAAGGGAGACTCGGGCATCTTTGAAGAATCCATTTTGACGGAGGTGAAAGAGAGCGTGCTTAAGATCTGCAAACCGAGGAAGAGGATCATGATGATGGATCAAGAGAACCATCTGTTTGTATACAGCATTGGAAGGCGACCAATTTCAATTCGAATGTATGGCAAGGTCATTCTCCTTCTCGGGGCCACTGGAGCAGGTGAGTTCGAGTCCTATTGCCTTGGAGCGCTACAGTAGGCCTTTGTGTGTCAGCAGAAAGAAAACTGGTCTGTCGATCTCTTTTTTTCCAGAGAAGACCACCGTGGTTAACACAATGGTGAACTATGTGCTGGGCGTGGAGTGGGGAGATGAGTGGCGGTTCCAAATGGGGGGGACGAGTGAGGAGGAGTGGAGTCAGACTGAGTCAGTCTCAGCCTATGTCCTCTATCCCAGAGAGGGTATGTCTCGGAATAAATTTCCAGTTACTATCGTGGACGCACCGGGATTCGTCGATTCCGAGGGACTGGACGATGCCACATTTTCCATTTTAAGCGTCTTATTCCGCCATAAAGAGGGCATTAACCGCCTCCATTCCATCGGGCTCGTTGTCTCCGCTTCAACCCCTTGTTTGACTTCTGCATATGCCCATATGTTCCTACAGTTCAATACAATCTTCGGAAAGGATGTAATCAAGAATATTCACCTGTTAATCACGACTGTCGACGCCACAACTACTACAGCTCTTCAAGTGGCGGAAAAAGTCGGATTTCCAGACGTTCCGTCCTTTTCCTTCCAAGCTAACTGTCTTTTTGCGAGAGAAGAAAATATGAAGTTGTGCTGGGACCAGATGAAGAAGAGTATGGGGGATTATTTTTGTATGCTGGAGGATGTGATGCCATTGAGCGCCACCTCGACCAAAGAAGTCCTCAAGGAGCGAGAGGCAATTGAAAAGGTCGTCCAAGAGCTACAGGACCAGATTCAACGAGGTGAGTGAGTTCCAAGGGTATCTTTGGATACCATCAAGGAATCAATGCCAGGATTTTGAGAAATGGCCAAAGTAAAAAAAAAAATGCATTAAGAAGTAAGCTTCACAGATGTCAAAAATGTCAGCCATATAGAAAGGTTGAAGGTTCAAGGTTTGATAGGGACGCCAAGAGACGTATCTGCCCATAATGACGTTCCAGGTTGGAAGTACATTTTTATTTGGCTCTTTCATGTAGTCAGATGGGAGCTGCGAAAAGGACTCGTAGACGACTCATATTTGCTCCTTCCTAGTAGAGTGCACGTAACTGCCTATAACTTCCGTCTAGCTGCTAGTCATAATATCGAGATGTCGGAAGACTTGCTAAATGTGATGTAAAAAGATGCCTTCGTGAACCGTCCCTGTCAGCAGTGAATGTGTGGCCATATATCGGCGTATCTGTGGAAGCTGTGGCGTTTCTGTGACTCTTCGTGGTTATATTATCTGTGGCTCAGAAAGGTCTTGCACACTTAGCCCGCGCTTGGTGGACATGGATGTTTCACGCACTAGTGCAATCCGACTGAAGATCTGGGAAAACTTCTGCAAATGCTTTGAAGCTTTGATGAGAACCGTACGCGTCATTTTGATCATGAGATGCATAACTCAAAAATGACCGCGAAGATCCAATGTGCCGAAGTTGCACTTGAAAGTTTTTGGAAAATGTTGAAGTTCTCCTCCATGTCACTAGGTGGAGGTATGTGTCTCCCTTTTTGCACAAAAGTGCCTTCCCTCTTTCCTTGGGATCGTCCATCACAGGAGTTACATTGGATCTTCGCGGTCATTTTTGAGTTATGCATCTCATGATCAAAATGACGCGTACGGTTCTCATCAAAGCTTCAAAGCATTTGCAGAAGTTTTCCCAGATCTTCAGTCGGATTGCACTAGTGCATACATAAAACGTTGTGGAACCCTCACCTACAGATCTGACCTGTCTAGAATATATCGATACAATCTTATTACGTTTCCTGCATCTTATTCCCTGTTACTGAACATCGTTACTTTTTTGTGGGGTAACGGAAATAATTTTTTGTATCGTACTCTCTCTCATTTTTTAGGCGACTATTCTCGATCTTATAGTTTTATTAGGATAAAAATCAATCAATTCTGAGTCTTAAATACAGTTATTTTAATTTTTTTCTTCTTAATAGAGAAGTCTGATCCAATAAAACTCGAAGTTTTGGTATAGTAAATGCCAAAATTTTTTTTACTGATATCAATACCACAACATTCAAATATTCGAAGCAAATATGAACATCAAAATGCAGTGTTTAAATGAATATTGTGTGTGCTGTATATTGAAAAAAAAACAAATAAAATTCGATGGAAATGCAACAGGGACTTCATCTGCTGAATTCCTCTTGTTTGCAGAAAATTGTTTATAATTTTCTCTAAACTTCATCAAGGGCTTCTCTGAGAAAAGTCGTGAGTTTTTTTCTTATGTTAGAATCAATATCTTCCTTCTTCCAGGTGAATTCATCTTTCTCTTCCACTCCTTTACTTTTGAGGAATTTGCTTATGCTTTATCTCAACCATTTCTACACTTTCGTTTCTTTCAAAATTTTATGCAATCATTTCCATTCTTCTTCTTTGAGGATAACTCCTCTTTCTTTTAGCAAGGTCTTCAAAGTCGAATGCGCTTGTTATGATGATGTTGTATCCTTATACCCTTATGTGCAAAAACATAAACCCTTTCCAGTAGGTCATCCACAAAAAATCATCGATCCTGAACAGTTCGATGAAAACTGGTTTGGATTCGTTAAATGTAAAGTATTACCTCCAGAAAGATTATTTCATCCAGTACTTCCTGTAAAGGTTGATATTAAAATAAAAACAATCCATAGGTATTTAAACAAAGAAAGAATTAAAAGTACAACTAAACTGATGTTTCCACTATGCGTAACATGTGCGCAAACGATAATAGAAAGATGCGAACATACAGACGAAAAAAGAAGTTTCGTAGGCACTTGGACAACAGAAGAAATAAAACTCGCAATAAGAAAAGGTTACGTTATAAAGGAAATATACGAAGTATGGGATTTTGAAAGAAGTAATATTTTGTTTAAGGATTACGTCGATTTTTTTTCTAAAAATAAAGCACGAAGCATCTGGTGTTCCTGATGGTATAACAAAAGATCAATATATTAAAATGATCAAAGAAAAAGACGGTATCAATTTACATCGAGAAAATATTGCATATAATCCTGGACTTCGTGCTATAGCAAAAATCTGTTTAAATTATTTATGGGGAAAGTTCGGTCAGAGAAACAATCTAACGAAACATTATTTACCGACGATAAAGCATATATAGCATATGACGATAAAGGTATTACTAGATGAAAGTTTAGAAATACTCGGGTTAGATTTTGATAAGAACGACGAACTAGCTGAAATACAATATAAATATATTAAAGATGCCGTAAAAAAATTCTAAAAATACTAACATAGCGATAGCCGCTTTTACAACATCTCACGCTAGAATAAAACCATACGAAAGGCTGGAAGTTTTACAAGAAAACGTACTTTATTTTGATACTGATTCTGTAGTATACATTCCTATAAAAAACGAATTACAGGGAAAGGTCTCGGAGAATGGGAAAGAGAATGTTTATTAAAAGACGTTTGGGTATCCACAGGACCAAAATCATATGCTTCGATAAATACTGATAACAAAGAGATCTGTAAATTTAAAGGATTTACGCAAAATTATGAAAATAAAAAATACCGAAATATGCAGGGTTTAATTGCTTTAGTAAAAGGTAAAAAGAAAAGAATAACGATAGTAAACCAACATGAAATGAAAAGAACCAAAACAGGAGGCATTCAAAAGGAATACGAAAAGAAAAAGAAACAATATTTGATTACAATAAAATATTTATTGTAGAACAAGAAGATGGAACAATAATTACTTACCCATGGGGTTTTAAAAGATCAGCTTAACTATATCTGCTTTTAAAAAATAGCGCGTTCTTTCTACAAAAATTTAATTTTAAAGCGCAAGACTACAAATTAAAATAATAAACATGGAGGGCATGCCATCATTATATCCAATAGTAAGTGCAAAAGATTCTAATTTTCGATTAGGTAAAATCAACGAAATCCTAAATGAACTCAAAAAAGAACAGCATTACGAAACTGTATACAAAAAATATAAACGTATTTTTAAAGCAGTTAACGGTATGCAAATGATGTGTAATATATCGGCTGCCGCCCGGAACATCAAGCCTGGGATCTGCTTTGAGCGGTATTGAAGTAATAGCGGCGATACCGTTGGGTTGCGTTTCGTTAAGCTCCAGGATTATAGGTACTACTTTGAATGTCATCTCTAAGAAACTTGCGTCAAAAGTAAAGAAAAATAATACGATAGCTTTCTTAGCTAAATCAAAACAAAATAGTCTCGCCAATATCGTTTCGAAAGCCATTAAAGACGGAGAAGTATCGGAAATAGAATTCTCACACATATTAAAAGAAATTGAAAACTATAACAGCATGAAAGAAGACTAATGTCTTCTTTCATTCATAATCATAAGCGAATGATCGAATCATAAGCAGCAAGAGGTTGATTTCGAAAAGTTAAAGAAGGATTTTTTAGAGGAAGGAAAACAGGTTGCATTACAAGATTTGAGAACTGTCATTTCTACAGCAAAGAAGTAATCAGTAAGTGCACGGTTTGCAACAACTTGCTGTTTTTACCTTCTGCACCACCTTTATATGAGTAGATAATACGATAACGGTACTTTCCGAACTTTAAAAGTTCGGGGGAAAAAAGCATTTCATAGTGTCTAAATTAATTAAATATATCAGTAAAAAAAGAGGAAAGATTATTAGAACATCCAATGTATTTAAGTAAATATGTATCAAAAATTTATATTTACCTTAAAAATATTTCCATTTTATCATAACGTTAACTAGCAATGGAGTTTATATCCTTCGATACAGATATAATATTTGATGAAAATGATTTTTCACTTACTAAACCGAAAAAATATACTGTATCTAATGTAATTAGAGCCACTTTATCTAAAATTAACTATAAAAATAACGATCTGCTTGTAAGATCTGCTCCAATTCGGCTATGGATTTAATACAAACACATCAAATGAAAAGGAAAAAAGAGTACGTTTTTTCTTACGTGTTATACAATTTAGATTCCAACAGAAAGAGATATGAAACTTGTAAAAATAATAACGAACGAAATAAAGAAGAGGAAGATTTTATTTTAAAATATGAGGAGAAAAAGAGGTGTATAGAATGGTTAAAAAAATTTGAAGACTGGTATAAGAAAGAGGTTAGAAAAATGATTAAACAGAAGATATAGATATCAACGCGGATATTTTAAAGTCACTTTCGAGAGACGAAGAGGGTGAATATATCAAACCGATATTTGTGTTTACAAATGATAAAGAGGGAAAGCCAGATGAGAGTAAAAATAAAAGACACTATGTAAAACTCGTGTCCAAAACAGAAGGAACTTTAGATTGTATAATTTGTTCTTTTTCTGGAAAAAATATTAGTAAAGAAGATATAATAAACGCTTCGGGTAATTATATTTTACTGGTACATTTCAAACATTTGTATTTCGGTAGAGTTCCCAATAGTACTTATATAGTATTCCCCAAAACAATAGTTAAGCATGTCTTTAAGGAAAATATTGCAATAGATCCGAACAAACAACAAACTTACCGCTCAGTTTCTAATATTTGAATGTTGTGGTATTGATATCAATAAAAGATTTTTGGAGAAATCTATTGTAGAATTTTAAAAGATAAAATTGGAGAATTGTGGTTTTTTGGTAAAGAAGTTTGTGATATTTTAGGATACAAAAATACGAGAGATGTGATTTAAAAAAATGTTGATAAAACTCATAAATGTCGTCTTGGATCGAGAAGAGTCGCTCCTAGCGATTCTTATTTAAATTATCATCCCCATACAATTTTAATTAATGAATTGAATTTATATTCACTCATGAGATCCAAACTTCCAAAAGCAAAAGCGTTCCAACGATGGGTTTACGGAGTTATCAAAAAAATCAGAGAAACCGGTAAATATCAAATTGAAATAGAGAAGGAACTTCTTGCAATGGATCCGAACAAACAACAAACTTACCGCTCAGCTTCTAATATTTGAATGTTGTGGTATTGATATCAGTAAAAAAAATTTTGGCATTTACTATACCAAAACTTCGAGTTTTATTGGACCAGACTTCTCTATTAAGAAGAAAAAAATTAAAATAACTGTATTTAAGACTCAGAATTGATTGATTTTTATCCTAATAAAACTATAAGATCGAGAATAGACGCTTAAAAAATGAGAGAGAGTACGATACAAAAAATTATTTCCGTTACCCCACAAAAAAGTAACGATGTTCAGTAACAGGGAATAAGATGCAGGAAATGTAATAAGATTGTATCGATATATTCTAGACAGATCAGATCTGTAGGTGAGGGTTCCACAACGTTTTATGTATGCACATCTTTTAAGACAACAATAAGAAAATATAACTGAATCATTAAGTAAAAATATAATATTTTACACGTCTCGATGTGTAAAATTTTTATAAGCAGCACCATGATCTGCAACCGGTGCGGACTCAACCTCGAACCGGTAGAAAAACGGGCGGAAGTGGAGAAAGAAATGTATGCGATAGAGAGAAAAACTTGAAGAAAAGAATATTGAAATTATACTGGAATCTAAGAGAATTTAGAAACTTTTTGGGCAATCAAAACATGAACACTTTCGTGAGGGAATTTTTGACAACTCCCAGGTTTCTATCTTACTCGGGATTTAGTAGTGAGACGGATTTCTTGAGATTTCTCGATAACAATTCATTAAAATATTCAGAGGTTATCAGTAGAGGTGAAATTATTCGAATGTTATCCTAATCTAATAGATGATGTAAAAAATATATAAAATAAATATAATATATCTCATAGCTTCTTATGCATAAATTTCGATTTAAAAAACCCTATGCATAAATTTCTATAAAATATCATAAATGTATAGAAGAAAACCTAGATAATAAAAAAACTTCAGTTATCTTTATCACTCCACAGCACTGATACCCAAAAGTTTGCAAAAATTGCTATAGCGCCTCCGTATGGAGCAATCATTCAGTTGAATTATGTCAACAGAATAAAGATTCGTGACATGACTTTCATGCAGTTAGATAAAGAGTAAAAGTGGTGGCGCTGGAAAAGTTGGTGCCATGCTGCGATGGCAGCTAGTGCATGCAAGAGGTCGCCTACTCCCCATAATCGAAGGAGTAGACGTCACCTGGAGTACATCTTGTAGGGTACTATTAAATGCCCTTTTCAAGTGCTACTTCTGTTACACTGAGCGCAACTGCATCGGAATGTCGGATTGGATCTTAAATCTTTTTGCATCAGTGGAAAGCTAGATAAATGTTCTATATTGAGACGTTATTGCAAAATTTTCAAACTCTCAAGAAACTACTATGTAAAGCATTAAACATAACTGACTTTCTTTTTTTTTTTGGCCCACCCTGTATTTGTGCTCTCTTGGTTTTACTTTTTCCAGCACGGAAAATATGGCAAATATCCACTGTTTCTGAACACTTTAAGCCTCTTGCACACATTTTTACATTGTCAAGACCGTCCATCCCAACTTAGTGGGGTCGTGGTCGAAGCAGACGGAAGAGCGTCCTTCTACGTCCCCGATCCTGGCCGCTGACTCCAGTCGGGCAGCTGGGATGCCGAGCCTCGAGTGGCAAAACCGTGGGGCATTCCACTTCGTAAGAAAGTCAAACGACTGGTCGTGACGTGACCGAAGTATTTCCGCCTCGGGGGTCAGCTACTCCTCGTTTCTATCTTTGACGACGAGCAAACTCTGCCACCTACCTTGCTAGAGCCTTCGGATAATTTGCTAGAACACTTCAATGACAGTGCGGTAGTCGGATTCCATTCGCTCGCCGAGTTGCTACCACGCCCCATTTTGCTCCATGGCAACGGCTCGAGCGGCAGCTCTTGGCGCCTCTCCGCAGCATGCGCTGGAAATGTTTGACGTTCTTGGGCGTGCGTACCCTATCGGGTGCCTTCTTGGCAACAACAGCCAGACGTACCACTGAGGTCAACCCGAGAGTTCTCTTGGTGTTCCTTCGGACCATAACGATACGCTACTCGCCACCCTCTCGCTGCTGAAACACCGGATTGAAAAATCCGGTGTTTCAGCTTTTTACGATTACGTTTCAGCGATCTTTACCTCAGAAGTCTGGGGAGATTGTTTGGAATACATTTCGCTGATATTGCCCTTGCAAACTAGTCACAAATTTTCTCATCACGGAAGGCTTTCCACGACATCCGTTTCACAACATGTGTAGCTCTCTGCCCCATTCTGAGGCTCACCCGTCTTTGGATCTCACTAACCGCTCAGCAGTGATCGGTGCTTAGTGCGACCATACAATTTACCCTCACATCCATCACGAGAGCCCGCAAGTCAGTCGGAGCGGTCGCATAATCGATCAACGATTGCTGGCGCACGGTTCAAGTCCGACTGTCAAGCCCCCTGTGCCGTGTGTGCTTGATATCCTTTAGTAGGAAGAAGGTGTTGTTAATGGTCAACACAAGCGTCAAGGCAACACTCTACCACTCCCATCCTGTGTGACTTCTCCAAACCGACCGATCACACCACCCCATGAAGTTTGGTCTTTCCCAATTCGTGCCTTGAAGTTCCCCATTAGCAAAACGAGATGCCGTTCGGATTCCTTTGTGAGGCACACCTCTTTGAGGAGCGCATCGCGGTCCGACTCGCCGTTTGGTCCGTAGAACTAATCGGCAGCCTTTGACTCACTCCAGACGGAGGCGCATTAGAGCGACTCATTCCTGGATCGGTTTCCATTCAAGCCAGCTAGGTATGAACGAGTATCCCCATTCTCGCCAGGGCGGACACTGTTGGATCGACTTCTCTCCAGTAGAGGTCGAGGGTGTAGGAATCCGTGCCTTTCTGTTTGGTGGATGCTAGGACGACTAAACGCGTATCTAGCTGTCTCTTACTTACATCTTCCACGAGTTCTGGTCCTGGCTGCCAAGCGTCAATGTTATGTCCCATTCGGCTTCATTTCACTTTCTCAGTTTTTCCCATACACCAGTGGCATTATTTTTCTTGGCGCTTTGCCAGAAGTCAAGTTAGACACACAGAAGGAAGAAAGGAGTTGGATCAGCCACATCCATGAAGGAATAGAGGTATTGAGAATGCAGTCGACACTCGATACAACGAACTCGAAGGGACAGGTTAAAAAAATACATTATAAGGAAAATTCATTATATAGAGGTTCGTTACATCGAGCGTCGACTGTATATGATCTAAGTCCTATTATTTCGTTTTGGGTCTATGATTCACTACATCACAGCCGAAAGGTGTAAAGCCATCGTATGGTCTGGACATTGAAAGCAAGTAATTCCTCTTCCCGTTATTCTGGAAAACAACACTAACTCCTTCCGAGGGCATGATGTGGAAAAACCTGCATAGCGCCATTGTTTGCAAGATTTAAATTCTACTCGAAACCAGATTATTTGATTCATTCATCATGGACTAATGATAAACTTGAATCAGAATTCATGGATACTCGTTTCGTCAGATAGGAGTTAAAGCGCGGACGAACAGATATAAATCTTCGAGCTGCCTGCCTCTTTCGATCATTATTCTTCTCTAGCAGGAGTACGTATGGGTACATAGAATGAGTCTAATACTTTCCAGGTCTCAAGCAGCTGGAACATATTCAGGTCGTCTACGATAGAGTGAAGAACGATATTAGCAAACGAGATGCGATGACGGTAGAACTGATGAACATCGGGAGGCAATTCAGTTTTAAGCAGTTGGAGGTGCATGCACTCATTCGTCAAGCTCATGCCGCCTTCTCCAAACTAGAAGAAATCGCCGTAAAACCAGATGTCTTCACTGTGGTGGAGTACATCGACCTTCTCATCCAACAAGAGCAGCGTCAAGGCGGCAGAAGAAGGATTGAAGCCCTGGAAGCCTCGCGCCAGACCGCCATGTGGCTATCGGCCATGAAGAATCAGAACTGGGATCCATTCGATGAACCTCTCTCCGACCTGAATCAAATCATCCTTGGACTCCCTTCAAAGCACGAGGACAGCGATGTGCATTTCCTCAGGCAGCCTGAAGGATTCATATACACTCTCAAGAAAATTTTCCTCTATCATCGGTATGGGAATGATGTAGCTATGTCGTTTAAAAACAAGTGTTGTACGTACAG